TGATATGTCAATGCTTATTTAAACATGGAGGACAGCCCTGTCAGCCCTCACCAAGCTCAGAGCACAGCCCAGGCTCTCCAAGCGGTCTGACTCTCTACCCTTATAAAAGGCACACCAAGACTGGCCAGGCATTTGGGGCAACATGTAAGGCTGCCTCTGATTGGCTGGAGCATTTCCTGGCTGCTTTTCTTTTGTTTTGTAAAGGCAAGCAGAAATGTAGTACTCACAGCAAGGAGAGCAAGGCCCAAATCTATATAATAGGCCACTGCACACCTATCGGTTACAAAGGAGACTACCCACAGCTGTTGATGTTTTATTAACTTTCCATAAAGTAGGCCATTGGTCGTGCTCTGGAGGGTAGACAGCAGAGGTGAACATAAAGAACAGGCCTGTGCCTGTGTTCATAAAGAGGAATATGTCTACAACGTTCCCACCCTCAGGATAAACCAATCATCATGGGAAAGATTTAACAAAAATGATCAACAAAAGGCATTAGCTACAGTGTATTCCTGTTCTTTGACCCATAAAGGCTTGATTATAATGCTGTTATGTAAACTAAAGCACTACAATGTACCAGTGAAGAGTGATTCACCTGACACTGGCTCAAAACTGGTTTGATAACGTTACAATGTTATTCCAGGCACGTGAGGATTATATGGAAAAACACAAAGTGCATTTGAGTTTTCTGCTTCCTCATTCAGCTACGGAGCATGAGACAAAAGTACTTCGACAAAGTGATCAACAGCCTGCTCTGGCTTGTTTTGCTGCCTGCTGTGCTGTATGTCTGACAGGACATGTTGACATGTCAACAATCTTGAATGACTGTACAGTATGATACAACGGCTTAGCTCTCTGGTTTTAACAACTGAACTTGTCCGAAACTGAGATTATTTTTCCATTGCATCACTGACTCAGTTGTTCAGGAAGAAAGAAGAATCCTCCTTACATTGAAATTAAAAGATGACTAACACATTTCAAAAGGTTATTAATAACTTGTGACTCATACATAACTTACATAAATGTAAGGTGTGTAGCCTCTAACACACATAAAGCAGGAGGGAGGGTTATGAGGACAGACAGCTTGCAGGATGGTTAACTGGACAAGACATGTCACTGTGAACTTTAGAAACAATTTACAAAAAGAAATCTATTATTCAAGCTTTATATCCGAAAGTAGCATTATTAAATGGAAATGTTTCACTGATCCAATCTGTGTTTATCAGTCTTTCTTTCTTAGATTGTATTTTGTGTCCTCCTGTTTGAACCAAATCTGAACTTTGCTTTAAGATTCACTTGCATTTGTTTTGCCATCCACCTCTAAGAATCCAACATTCTTCTGCTTTAACTTTCAAATCAATTTATAAACTCTGTTTTATAGTAATAGTTACAGTTAACAACAGCATAACTGTGTTCAGATGTTAAGTGAGAGGTGTTTCTCAAAGATATAGCCTGTAAATAAATCAGTCATTTATATGGTTCACAAGTTATTTTGCAAATTGGTAAGAAAAAGGAGAATTAATCATCTTGCATCTTGTATTTGTTCCCATGCAGTGATAGACTCATCTTTGATTTACTGTTGTGAACAAAATTGGTGTGCAGCAAAGCCATCCACCTCCTGCTGCTGCTGCTGCTGCTTTGGTGATTCCAAAAAGGCTTTAGATACTTTATCATTTAAATTAATATATTAGGTTTGATTTTTTTAGGGGAACAGGTCAATGCCCGCTATTTTACAGGGACGTGATTACATCCTTTAAGTCAGTAGGTGTCTGCAGATGACAACTCTAATAATATTCTCTTTTTCATAATGTAAAAGGTTCAACCTCTGGGGAACACCTGCCTGCTTTGTTCTCTGGCTGTCTCCTTCTGGATGGAGATGAAGAGCAGCGGCCTCTTGTGGAAAACCTCTTTTACAGCACAAGGAAACTTAGCAGGGAAACTCTAAAACAGGTACAAATCAATAATCATCCAAAAAAGGACTTAACACTACAAAATGGTTGTTTTCCTAAAGAGGGTAAATAAAGTTTAGAAGGACACAAAGTCAGCTTGTTTCACACATTGGGTATACAGACTGAGTTTCTTCTTCAGTTTGAAACACCAACTTAACTTAGTGTCAACTAATATTTGGTTGTTTCATCTATCACCAGTCAAGTTTTATTTTCAAGCAGACTAACCATTTAATTCACTGTGGACTTTCAGGTTCACAGCACCTCTCTTTGGTTATTCAGACCTCTGAAACAGACTGTGAAAGTTTTCAAGACTTTTTACAGTTCATATGCAGGCCTGTTGGCACATTATAACCAGTTATTAGGCGGAAAAACAGAAATCTGCCCTTCAAATGGCTCAAAATGACAAAGAAATTAGCCAGCTATCGTGGTCACAGTTTGTAATATCAGAGCTGTTAGGCCTCTATGGGGAAATAAGTGATAAGGTTTTCCTGAAAACTGACAAGACTAAAGCCGATAAATGTATTCAATTAAAACATCATTAACTGAGTACAAGTTTGCAGTTTTGTGCATCCAGATTGAACTCTTTATGAAACTAGCTAGCAAAATGAACTTGTTGTTACCACAAATTGGCCAGACACTCTCAGTTAAGCGTTAGCTAACCGGGTATCACACTTATTGACATATTAACTTAGCTAAAGACTCTAAGAATGAAGGACGACCCAATGGATGAAAATTAGTTAATAATAATTAAATTAAAATGGAAATGATACTCACAGTACACGCACTTTTTACAGTCTCCACAACACAGCATGAAAGGCGCCAACACGGATGGGCAAGAGGTCAACTGGTTAGCACTCCAGGAGTCCACTAGATGGCGCCCGAGTCAGATTTTCATCGTTCAGAGCAGTCCTGAAACAGCTCTGTCTGTCTTCAGTCTGAAGAAGAAAAAAAAAAAAAACAGTACAGTTGGTGTCAGTGTACTTAAGAAAACATTTGGTTCCTCCACTTTATTTGTAGTGTCCTTAAATCTCTCTGGTTCCCCAATGTAGCTATTCCCTCTGTCTGGTATCAGAATTAGAACTTCTAACAAAAGATAGCGTATTAAAAAATACTACACTTACCAATGTGAGGTAAAACATTGAGGTTAATCCAGTTGTGCAGTTGATATGGTCCACTATTCCATGAGTGTGAAAACAAAAATGAGAATGAGACATTTGTTACGCATGTTTGACCTGTGGCTGATTCACACTCTGAAGAGGAAGGCTTATTCAGAGTACTTCTGAGGAAAGCAGCTTCAAGATACTGAAAATGCATGTGCTGCAACAGTATTGTCAAACTTGTGTCTCAGGTTAGGACACTTGAAACCTCATCCTCACTTTGTTTAATTGGTTGACAGGGGGGCTAGAGTTATAATGTTGTTGTGCTTTTCACTACAAGGCTGTTAAGGAGGAATACAACATTATGTTATCTTTTGACTGTGATCAGTTGTGTTTTTTTTTTTTCCCTGTGTTTTAATTTTTTAACCAAGCATTAAACTTGTATGTAAAAATAGTAAATGGTTAAATAAGCGGTTATGCAAGTTTTTTTTTTCCCTTTTATATATTAGCATGGTGTTGGGAATCTGGGGGATGGGAAAGGATTTACAGCAAAGTATGGGCATTTTGTTACCCTTTTGCAGGTAAACCAATCTGAATGCATTAATGATTATGGGGCTATCTCCTGTCCTTTCAAAGTGACTGTGGCAGGGAAGGGGGATGGGATAAAGTGTCTCACACTCACTGAGGGGGGAGGTCAGTTTGCCATGTTTAGTGGGGGGAAGGGGCACAAACAGAGGGCCACTGGGCCCCTCTTGAGGTCTCCATGGAATGTAATTGAAGCTATGTCACTCAAGCAGTCATACAAGCAGATCAAAAACACTAAAAATAAACAGGGTTTTTTTAGGTATTGATGAATACACCATCAGATTATACACCAATTAAGGTGTGCTCATTTTTACACTATCTTATTGTGTTTTTCGCCATATATCCTACAGTCAATCATGGCCTTAAATGGTGATATAATGCCCACATTAACTGGATGTTACACTCCCTGGTCTACAAATCTTGCCATCCAAGATGTCACATGAAAATTGATGAATAACAATAATATTTAAAATGTTGTGGGAATGTTTGCTTTTTAAGCTATGCTCTAACTGGATAACTGGTGACGTTGAGTCCTTTAACTGGGACACTTTGTCAGTTTTAAATGCGTTTTTACAGAAAGCCCAGGTTAGAAGCCAGTTACTTTAATTTTAACTTTGCCTTCCCTATATTTTTTCATGCCCGTCTTTGCTTCTCCATGTTTATTTCCCCCAATTAGTTTAAAGCATTCAAAACTAATATTCCTAAACTATTATCATGCAGACTGTGATAGAGTTTCATCCATTTTCTGCAGCCCCTTGTGTGTGATGGCACTAGAAACACATTCAAGACATCATGGTGCAAATGTCGCTCCTACCCCTCATCTTATCTAGACTGGGCCTTTTGATTGTCACCTGTAGCAAATTATTATTCATGTTTAATGGATGACAGCTCGTATTATATTATATGATATAATATGATATTATATTATTGTTTCAATAAGGAGATGGTATGAAATACTTTTTTTAAATTTCATTAGACATATGTGCATAGTGATTCTAAAGTACTTTTTCTTCCTACAGTAGATACATATTTTCTCATATTTATTTCTGATGCCAATTAGTGTATGTGCCAGTTAAAAACCTTTTATTTCTGAATTTTACACAAACATCCTTTCAAACAGTATGTGGGTTGAATATCAGATTAATTTAATTCTCTACGGGTAAGGTAAGTCCTCTGCATAAAGCTGATTTTCTGCCGGCCTATAAATACATTTTTAAATCTCTACCCTAATAATATCAGTGACTGCTGCTCATATCACCTATGGGTATTCGTCTACGTGTAGTTCGTATGCAGAGCGTATCAAACAGTGTGGTGCGGCTTGAAAATCAAAGCCACTACATTACCCAGAATTCCTGTCGCTTTGCTACAAGCTGGCTCCCTCCGTTCTGGGAGTGTTTCGCATTTAAACAAACACGGTCCTGACGAAGATGGCGGAGAGTTTGTAGAGGCATAAAATAAACTGCTACACTCAATGAAAGCGACGAAGCCGGTGAGTGTTTTACAATCACTTTCAAGCCCAGTTTGAGACAAGTTTTGAACTAATACTCATTGTGTGTTTGAGACTCAAATTTTGTCACCGCTGCAATTGGTGTTGCTCCGCTTCCGAGCAGGCTGTGGTTTCAGGCGACCGTGATACAATGAACCACATTACCACTGTCTATTTGTTGTAGGATGTTTTCCTGATACAAGCGACACAAATAATGCAGACGATTTGATAGTAACACAAAGCTTTGCTCGCTATTGTGCAGTTTGTGTTGTTTTCGATATTTGTAGGTGTTTCCATTATCCGATGGCTGCAAAGTTTACGAGACACAGCCTCTGTGGTACGGTGGGGTCCAACAGCACAGTTCAGACACTCAGCTCTGCATATATGAGAGGACTCGTCTGTGTGTTCATACGATAAGTGTAACTTGAAGCGACACAAGGCTGTGTGAATTGTCCACAATAGGTTGGAATAGCTTTGGGAACTATGATTTTATGTACCGGACGGTCTTGCTTCCTTACAGTTTCGGTGTCATGTATGAGTTTTCTCTATTTACAGGAGTTGTCTTGTGTCACAAAATCAAAACTAAAACTTTTTATCGTTTATTCTCACTTGTTTCCTGCCTGTTTCGTTCGTGGAGCTGGTGTTGGACTTTTAAATCTCTATGCAGATCAGCAACCCTGCGCACTAGGAGCTGTTTTCTCGCCCTTCATGTGCCTCACGATTCGCAGCAACTTCTATCAAATAACAACAAACCGATTTCACTGACTGTGAGTCAACATTTGAAGAGAATAAGTCTTATTTTCTTGAAGTTCATGTTATCATGTGAACCATCCAAGGGTCATGTGGACATCTCTGCCCCCTCTACTGATTACCAAACTTGAATGGACCGCTCTGGAGAATCAACATCTGCTATTTATTTGCATCACTCCAGTGAGATCATGTACCTATCCGTAATTGTTATGGTTGGTATAATGGCCCATCACACTATGATAAATGTTGGCTTTCATAGCTGATAAATCAAATTAAGTAAATGTGTGTGCTTGGGAGACACGCAGAGGGAGATGGATGTGTTTTAGTGCAGGGGAGTCTGAAACTTGTCAGGGTTCAGGTACAGTCCATTCAATCTGCTCTGACTGGACAAGGTGTATTCTTTGCACTGTGTTTCTGAGCATGTGACAGGACGGTTTTTGGGGCCATGCCCATGTGTAGACCGACAATGAAAATACATGTTAGTCACTCCTCCGGAACGACAGAGGTGTAGGTGTGTTGTCGCTCTCTATGCCTGGGGCCATCCCTGCCAATACTTGCAGGTATTTACAGTGAAACACACATTTTTTTATCTCAAAGTATCTGAAATTATTCAAGTGTTTGCTCGGATATTGTTTCTTTTTATCTACAAAGGGGTGGAAATGATGTTGGAAATTACTAAAAGCAGATCAGTCATTAGAATGGGCTTTTAAAATTCATGTTGCTGGCCATGAACATGTGAACTGGTGCTTCTGGCTGTCTTCAGCTCTGTGATGAGTCAATTGATTTGATTTTGAGGATGGTGGAATGCCATTACTCAAGTCCATGTATGGGGTATTTTTGTAAGTGCTCGAATACCACTGTGGGAACCTGTCCAATGAAGTGCTTCTGCTCATATTCTTGGCAAATGGAGCCCCCTGTCCCCTATTCTCTCTCCCTTTATCTACCTCTTTCTTTCTCCCTCACACAGGGTGTCAGGCTGCGTTAACAATGAATCAATCTTTGGGGGGATTCTTTGACTGCAGATGGGGTGAAGAGTGACTGGGATGCATGGCTTTCACTCTTTGTCTGTTGGCCCCTGCGCTCTCAATAATTCATTAACTTATCACTTTTTCTCATGAGACTAGGAGAAGTCTCTGGAGTAGATTGTGGGGTTACATCAGAGTCCCCGATTGTTATTCGGACCATTGTACATGAGTGGCAAAACCCACTGTGAGATCTTTGGTTGTAGAATATTTTAAATCCAGTTTACAATCGTGCAAAGATGTTAAATATTTATTTTCTGCGATAAAGTGCTCATGTACTTGATAAAATCTTTGTAGCATGAAGACCATGTAATACATCTGTGTAATGATACACTGGATTTGTATGTATGGAGGGGTCAGTGAAATCCACACAGTGTTGGATTTTAGGAGAGATATAATTCTGTATATTGCTCCTTTTAGTCTCAGTGAACAACTCAGAGTTTGGTGCCAATGTTTTGATTCATTCCAGTTTAGTTACATCTCATGTAATAATGTGTTTCTGTGCTTGGTTGGATTAGCTTTCAGTTACAGCTCAGTATTAGAAAAAGAGCAAAAATAAGCGAGGAGCTTCCTGCTGTTGAGAGGCACAGGCTCTTTTGATAAGTGTCTCTAATCTGTCTTTGTCGAGCTGCATTTTTTGCATCAGTGATATCTGAATAGATGACATTCCTTAAATGTTTGTCAGTGTGTTCGCCTCAAGAGAAACTGAGGGACAGTCGTAACAAGTTTCGTATAAGTAACTGCCAATTGCTGATGTGATTCGGGTTCAGATTCAGACTAATAGGTGCGTGGGAGAGCAGACGGTTGTTGTTGACATACAAAGCAGAAAGGAAAGCCTCGTTGTGCCCTTAATTGTAACATGAGGCCTTGGTCTTCAAACCTTCGAGTTAGGCAGTACAAGTAGTATTAGTCGGGAAAAATAAAAGGTACATTTCCTAAACCTATTCAGAAAAGATGATTTTAAAATGTCAAGTAGATGTGTTTTTCCGGTTGCCAAGTCCAGTGAGGGTTTTCAGCAGTTCAACAGGATTCTGTGACACTTTGCTCTGTGCTATTTAGACTTGACTCTGACGTTTCATTGGAGGCCGTTTTACAACCACGGCTGAAGAACACAAAAGTTTCCTGTGGTCAGCTCAAGCTGTGTAAAACATCCTGTTAAGTTCTCACATCTCAAGGTCACTAATGTAGCGATAGTCATCTCTGATTTTGTGTTTCTTGAGGTTCTCATACCACACATTGGCGTGTTGGTGTGCAAACTCAACAGGTAGGTTTGCTTTGTGTGCCTACCTCAGTGTGGCTAAATATAGAAAACTGCTCAACAAGACAGTCGTGTTTCCACTGCTAAAATATTTACAGCCACTTCGCCCAAACGAGTGAGAGTGAGAATGTGAGACGAGGGCTGCTGAAACCAGATTTTTATTCACTATTCAGAGGAAGCCAGACTTCTCAGCCCCAAGTCAAGCCGTGCACTCTGACTCTATTTGAAGTCACATCTCATTCATCCCCCAGGTCCCCTCTTCTTCAACTCTAAGGTAATACCCGAGTGTTAGGCTTAGCTGAGCCATATGTGAGCCATGCACACTTCTTCAAGCCAAACGGGCAGCCTGAAGCAATCATTGCACCCAATTCCAGTTTATAACCAGCAAGGATTTGGAACAGTTCTCTCTCTGTAGTCTTCATTGATTGGACGAAGGCAAGAGTTTATTAGGGAAGGGGGTGCCAAGAGCTTTGTCCCCCACCCCCTTGCCCTTCCTCTTTAACTTCAACTCCCCCTTTAACTTTCGCTCCCCCAGCTGAAGAATGCTCGTAAAAAGGGTTCACCTGAACAAGCCAGTGGGAGGGTAGCTCCTTGGCCCAGTTTTGTTACCATTGTAAAAATTTAGCAAGACCTTGTTTGTGTTTTGTTTAGGGCCCCCTTTTATAAAAAAAAAAAAAAATGCTCTGGGGGAGAGACAGCAAGGTTGAAAAAAAAAAGTTTGGTTTGTGAGATAACTGCTACCAGATGCTCCCCCTGTCTGTTATACAACGTAAAGAGATGAAGAAAAAGAGGCTGGTAAAGAGGAGAGGAGAAAAGACATGCTGTCATGGATGAACTTTTCAACTTTTGCATGGAAAAATTCCATCTTTCTCCGGTCTCAACTTTTCCTTTCCTGTGTTTATTCGGTTTCTATAAACATACACTAAAATGTAAAGGTTCCATCACATAGAAATATATTGGTGTGCATGAAAAACAACAAGGTCTAGGCTGCAAAGGGACCAGGTTTTCTATCCAACAAGGCGTACCTCCACTGTCCTTAACGTGCTGCTTTTTTTTATCCATTGGAAATTGTTGATTTTGTTTATTTCCTTCATTTACATCATGCGCTTCTTCTTCCTCTCCACATTTCTAAGATCAAATAGGTCGACTTGTATGTGGTAGTGGGGGTGGGCTGGTTTGTCTGCCTGGTTTGTGGCTGGCATCACACTGCAGTTTTGAGTCGTGAGGGGGTAAACTCAAGACTATATGACCATGCAAACAAAGACAGTAAGAGTAGACCGTCACCTCTGCGTCTTCTGAGCTCCTTTAATCAACAAATGAAGCAGTCCTTCTGCTCACAGCACTCCACTAGACACCATTTATATTTCCTACTTTATTGTATCCTTGAGTTCAAAGAAAAGTCATGTTGTGAATGACAGACAACCAAGCCGACGGTCAAGGCTCCAGACTTACTACAGCATGTCAACACTAGCAATGCATGCGCCATATAATTTATAACCATGTTTCTTTTCACCATCACTCATTATTAAATGGGACCGATCTACACAGCCCCCCCCCTTTTTTTTTTTTCTACGAAGTGGAAAATGTTCCTTTCCCCACTACTGCTCCTCGCTGTGCCTGCTGACATCACTGTTGTGCATGCGGCTTGTCGTTAAGGAAACGCTCCAATCAAAAGGTTGCTGCTCTGGAGCTTGTTGTCCCCAGAGTAGCCAGCCAAAACCAGCCTCCTGACATTGTAACGAAGTCTGTGATGTAGAAGTTTACTACCAAAGATCAGTCACAAAAGTTGGCCATTCATCCTTCACAAAGACGGGGTTTCATGTCGTATCATTCGATTTACAACTTTGCAAGCGACTGCAGCATTTTAGTTTGTTACGTTGTCCAGGACGCTCTTTCTGTTTCTATTGCTTAACTTATATAAGTGATCCTGTTAGATAATGTAAAGAAAATAAGTGATAAGTTCACAAAATATTCCATTCAGCCAGCAATATTGAAGAGTCTTCCCAAGCTTGGTATCACAACTGCTATTGTTGTTATCGCTCAGGGAATTCACAATTTCCTGACCAGAATGAGTGACCCCAGATTTATGGATATCATAAGAACACATTTAAATATAAGGGGGTTCCAAGCTGTTTGGCAAAATGAGGATGATTTTGGGACATCCACTGTGAAATTTGATGCAGCTTTTATTCTTGACAAAGGCCATCGGCACCACTCTTTCTGTTGAGCTTGAACTGAGCCTGTTCATCCAAATGTTAGTGTGCCGCTTTAGCTTTTAGTGTTTCTTAACAGGCTTTGCGTATGTGACATTCTCATTAATCTATACCACAGATCATGGTACAGTACCACACTACTGTGTTGTGACTATCTCACCCTACCTCGTATTTACATCCGCTCCAATGAGAACAGTCCATCGTACAGCTGAATGAGAATGTGAACCAGTTAATTTAGATGAGGTAAATTTGGTACCAAAGACATCTGCGCGAAATTGAGGAAACACATTCAACACTGAGCTACCAAGATGAAGCTGCTGCTGACCCCTCCAGCACAGAGTCCAGCAGCTCATGCCAGAGTCAACCCACAGCTTGATGTTGATGAAGTCTAATACAACACTGACAATGACACACGACACCCACTGTTACAAGGTATCTGTATGAGGAGATGGTGATGTTTTCTATGGTGGACCGATGTTCAGTCAGTGCTGAGGAAAAGTTTGAAAAGTTTCTCTGAAAATAAATGGATAGAAGTCAAAGTGGGCATTTAACCCTGTTGGAAATCTGATGATCCACCTCCCTTCCTGCTGTGACGATGAGGGCCTCCAGATCCAAGTTCAGTTAGGTATTTGATTCAAACACCTTAAAGCCTTAGAGTTCGATGGATTACCTAATAGAGAGGTTGTACAATTTTGCTCAAGTTGTTATATAATTTGCTCACGTTAAGTGAGTCCAGGGTTTGGATCCGTCCTCTTTCTTAGGTGAGTTACTTCAGATTAAATGCCAACATTTAGAGGAGTTATGGCTCTGTTGATTCAGATCATTTGGCATTCAGATCAAGAGCCCTCCTGTCATCGTACGAATTCGAAGCCATATAGCTCTCAGTATTTCTGTGGCTTTCTCCATTTCCTGCAACCGGCATTTGCGCAGTAGCTCTGCTCAAACAGCTTACCGCCTTGATGATCCACGCAATCTTTGTACACCCATAGGCTGTATCAAATGTCAATCATAGAAAACATGAACCCCCTAATAACTTTTAAAAATGGAGCTGTACAGAAAAAAAGAGAACTTGAGCACAAACCAGTCTTACAAGAACTACATGTCAACATCAGAACCACGGGGGAGAAAATTTTATATTCTGTGTAATTAATTTTTTTACTTTGTTCCCGGCTCCATTCATTTTGCTGGAAGAGGTGGGATTTATGACCTATACTGCAACCAGTCACCAGTGGGTGTTGTTCCAGCAGAGGCTTCACCCAGCGGCGAGGCAGAGGACGTCCATTTTATGTACAGTCAATGGTCATGACACTGTGAAACAATATTAGCACTGTTTTTTTTCTTCTTTCTGCTCATGTATTGGGATATGAAAAAAGTTAACCCATTAGCTCTGGTGTAGTTTTGTGAAAGTGAATAGTTTAACTAGAATTTTTTAGTCCTCAGATTTTAAAGTCTCTTTTGTGCTTTAGATCAAACCCCCCCCATCAACTTTTACCACAGTGTGGAAAAACTGCAGCTCTGACACCAGTGTGGAGAAGTTGACAGGCAGGGTGTGATGATGAGACAGTGCTTTAAGTCCTGTTAAGTCAGCATGACTGGTCCTAAAATAGTCACTTTCAATTTGAAGTAGTGAGGTTTTGGATGCTGTGCAGTAAATTTGATAAATTTGTTGAAATGCTTTTAGTTTGAATTCAAACTAGTTGCTGCCAGCCCAAAAAACTGATGTTGACACAGTTCAGAATGCAATATTAGGAAATACTCTCGGGTCAAGTCCACACAAAATCAGGTGTTTTTTCTAGCTGTTGTTCTTCCTCCTTCACTTGAAAAAAAAAAACATTAAACTGTCGACAGGACTTAGCAAAAACAAACACATAAACATGCCAGGCAAGTAGGAGATGATCACATGTAATTAGTCTGTCACATAAAAGTCAACAGAAAACATTGTGCAGCACTAGTGTCTCAATGGAAAACACTAACAGGGATCTTGCATGGAGTGGAGAATACAAAACCGTTAAGCTTGATAATGCTGAATTAGTTTGCCCTTGCACTGCAAAAAAAGGCTGTTTTTCCCTGTAGACATGCAACTGAACCAAGTACAGAGCAGACTGTTGCAAGTGGACCGAGACAAGTGTCTGGGCAGCATGGCACATATGCAATACAATACATATCAGACATTGAAGTTCAATACCAAAGATGAATAGCTAGGAACTTGGATAGTAAATAAAGGCTAATCAGAAAAGAAAGGATGTTAAAAAAACAAGCTGAAGCTGTCTTCTTGTAATGACATTGGCAGAGTTGTAACTGTAAACATGTATTTTAATTGTTTGCCACTTGCCAAAGCGTTTGTCGATTGTTTTATATGTCACATCATAGATGAACCAGAAGATGGCCCAGTGGTGACGAACTGAAAGGAGCATGTCGCCACCTACCATAGCAGACACAGACAAACTTCTGCCATTCGATAGATTCCCACTGTTGCATGTAGACTGAGACAAGGGCAGTAGTCCATTTAAATCACCTAGTCAGGCTGTAACTGCGGTTCATCTTGACTGTGCATGTTAAAGCACTGGTTGGTCTGGTCTCGCCTCTGTTACTACCTCCAGTGTCTGCAGCAGTGAGAAGACGTGGACCCGGCTCCATCAAGACATCATATTGTATTAACAGGGCTGTAATATCACACCTTCAACTGGGAGTATAAAGAGCCACTGAGAATGAGAGCGTTTCCTTATCCAGGATAAGATGGTGTTCGCAGTGAAGCTGGACTTTGTCCCCCCAGAATATCCAGAACTAATTATTGGAAATTCAGACTTGAGAGGCACCAGTAAAACACAGATTTTTCCTGTTAATCTGCTTTGCTCTATGTCTTCTTTTACCTGTAGAAATGACTGTGTTTTGATGTGAATAAGATGAGACCTCGGTGGATAAACCAGCTCCCTGTAAATGCCTTAAGATCGATAATTTTGAGACTGTCTTTGTAGAGTTTACAACCTTTTATCCATCCGCTTTTGCTTTCTCTTACTCGACAACACAGCTTTTAAAAAGAAAATGGAAAGATATAAATTACAAAGTTCATGCTGACTCAGGGTCCATTGAAACAGTTGACTTTGAACAGGTAGCTTTACTGAAGAACACTCAGCAAACTTCACTGATGAAAACAAAAAAGGATCAAATCAAAGACTTAAACCTTGAATGAGTGCGAATACTATCTGGAAAGTTATTGTAGACTGACAACCAAATCAATACTGCTGAAGACCTGCATGCCGGAGACACTGATTGTGTTCCCATGAAGGGGTCTGGTTTGGTCCTGTACAGTTTGGTAGGAAGTGTACTGGTTGCCACATGGTGTTGGAAATACTAGTTTTTTCCTGTGCAGGTGAACAGATGAGACCTTTCAGATAAAGTCATAAACATGAAAACTGTACTTCCAGAGTGATAACAGTAAGTTACTTTTCTGTTGAGAGACCCACAACGCTTTTATTCTGCACTTGTGATCCGAACAGGGTTGTCTTCTCAGAGGAGTAACTTGCCGAGCTCTCTATTTGAGTTAAAGCTGTCGTACGTAACTTCTGTTGCCCCCTAGAGGATTTCTGCGTCATTACAACGATATGGCCGGCACCTCAATATGACATATGCACATCACACACAGTAACACTCACCAGACACAGGGTACTGTTGGTCACGGTACACAAAGTAACACTGGCTACAAAGAGAAACACTCGCGACACTCCACATGCTGCTGGTCACTAACCACGGCACATGGACTATAACCGTCCACGCAACGTGTACTTCTCATCACGGTACACAGAGAAACACGTGCAGCTCACACCATTTCCAAGAAAATTATAAAGTACTCTGTCCAGGACATGTAACAGCAACACATCCTGCCTTAATGTACAGAGTCATTTACTTATCCAGCAGTATCAAGGCAACATCGGTGCGAAGCCGATGTAAATCTGTGTCACTCTCTTTCTTTGCCAACAGACCTTTTCCTGAGTGGGAGGGCTTTTTCTTTTTAGTAGGATCCACTTCTGAAGCTCTTGGTTGCTTCTTCAGATTCTCCGCCATGTTGCTACTAACAGCGCTCTCCTCCCCCCTCTCTTCTCATTGTCAGGTAAAACCGAGTAGAACGTGTCATTTCCTTGCGCTAGCGCAGGAATGTCACCCCTCGAAACCAAATACAAAAAGAACAAATACTGAGAAATACTGTGAGCCGAGCGGCTTAATCAGCGTTGTATCATCTCCTCTTGCAGTGGCTTTGGTGAAACAGATATTTACAGACATGTAGATGTTATGTGCTATAGCTTTAGAGGTAAACTTTTGACTGTGGGAAATATTTCATCTTTTCTGATCTCACCTCTGTGCCTTTTTTTTTTTTACCTGTGGTGTCTGTGATTGGCGTTACACCCTGACAAGAATAAAACAAAGTAATATTGCACTGACAAGGTGAAGTCAGGCAGGGAAAGACTAAATTTACTATGATCTCTTCTTCCTTCTCATTCTATGTGTTGGAGTGTTGGTATCCCAGCAGGTGCCTTAAAGTAGAAAAACGGTTATTTTTGTGCCTTTTTCCATATTTGAACAATGTAACTGGAAATGAATGGTACCGTTCTCTACTTTACTATATTAGACTCTTAATGTAAATGCACATTTTGACCCATTTAAAAAAAAAAAAAAAGATTTCAATCTGTGACAAAAGTTGTCAATTAATTTCTTTATGGTGGCTAAATATACTTTCAATCAAAGCAGTTACATGCTTCTCTTTAGCTGAGAAAAATCACTCAACAGTTAGCCTTTGCTGTTTCATTATTTATTTATTTATTGTGTTGGTCATGTGTGTTTAATAGTAATGTGAAGGCAGTTTGACACAGAGACCAGCATATGTCAGAACCGGCTGGTGTTGTCCTTCCACCCGCTCTTCCAGTGTGAAGGCCTTGATTAGCAGTCCAAGCTTAATCACTCAGCAGATGGGAACAGAGTGCAGCGCAACCAAGACAAAAACAAACCCACGGTGGGATTATGCCTAAACGTGTGTTGAGAGAGAGAGAGAGCGTGTGTACATGTGTGTTTGTGTTCAGTAACTTTGATTTGAATCCTAAATAGATATCCTTAAGCTCCTTGTTTCCTTTCCTTCTGTTTGCCTCCTCTGCCTGTCTTTCAGCACTTGGTCTTTGTGACCCCTGTATCCCGCCTGTCCTCATAAGTCATTTAAACACACTTTTAATAGTGTTAACCTGGAACTGAGCAGCATGCGGTGGGTACAATGTGTGGCCGGCTCTTTAAAAGGTTGTTGACAGAGGGGAAGAAACAAAAACAAACCAGAAGGAAAAGTAAGGTCGTTTAATTTGAATGTGATTTTTACTGGGGTGGATTGTACCTGTTTTTTTTTCTCCATCGTAGGCTGTTCACAATCCAAGGAAATGAATCAAACTGAGAAGAAAGCAGGCAGGGTTTTCAGATTTTGACTGAGGATTTAAAGCTCCAGTTGTATGTCTGCGCTCTGTTTCCCTGTGTACCTCATTTCTGGAATCTTTTTCACCTAGGCTCTGTCAACACATGAAGCTGGCCAGTTGAAAGAAAGGAAAAGGAGTAGTAAGGGAAAAATGGGAGAAGGGAGGGGGTGCAGTTGTGAAACTGGCGTCAGACCATCTTTTGAGCGGAATTCTTTGCAGGGGTCAGAGTTCAGGCGCTGCAATGTGGTGCTGTGATTGGCTGAGGAAAGGTGAAATGAAAACCACGGTAAACTTTTGACCCCAGCGCAGGAGCTCTGCAGGAACGCCCAGCCCCAGCTCTGGCGTGGTGGAACAGAGCCCGCTCTCTTCCTGTGTTTACTCCACCAATCCAACAGGGACGGTGGGGAGAAGGGGGGAGGGGAGAGTGGAGAGTGAGCGCAGAGAGGGAGGGGAGAAAGACACGAGAGCAGGAGGGAGGAAGGGAAGAGAGAGAAAATCGTCAGAGCTGTGCTGTGGTTTGAAAATGAAGAACAGTTTTTCAGTGAGGAGCACAGTTGAGGCGCTGTGCGTATACAAAGACACTCTGCTTCATAAACAAAGTTCAAACCAAGCACAGTCTGAGCCAAAGGGCTGGACTTTATTTCAGATATTAATAAAAGTAATTACTGTGGTTGACATGTCTCCACACTCAATTATAAATGGCTCTATGTGATTTTTCTCTCGGTGCATCTTCTTTAGTCACTAGTGAAGATATGTGTGTTATCGAGGCCGGCAGCATGGCAGCTGATCAGGCCGCCGGGCTCTGGCTCTCCAGATAAAAGCCTGCTTAGCCATTGATTAATGAACTAATTTCCATAATATTAGCCTGGTGCGATCACAGCCGCCCGCATTTTGTTTGGTCGCTGTGGTCTCCTCTTGGATGTTGTTGTGTGTCCCTCCTTTTTATCACCTCTCCATAAACACGAACACGTCAAGCTGACGGGAAATGAAAGGATGCAGCGAGTCTGTGGCGTTACGCCGAGAGTTCATTGGTTGAATCTGTGCTTGCGTAGCGCCTTTCCTGTTCCTCTCTGTTCTTTGTCCATATTAATGATGGATAGTTGCAGGAGATGCATGTGTGACACACACTCACACACACACACACGGTGGAATCTGCCATCCCTTTGTTTCCACCTTCATTTATTTCCCTGTGTTTTTTTCTACACATTGCAGTTTGTGTGAGAAAAATGGGGAGATGCTCACAGAGTGTCTGAGCTCTGGGTGTTGTGTGCGCTGGGCTCTGAGTGGGGGATGTTTTTTTTCTGTGAGAAAACCAATCCTATGAAGGTGGTGTCTCTCCGCTTTGATTGACCCTCTCCCATCTACATTCATCTCCAGGAATCACGCGCAATTCAGATTTGAAGGGGAAAAAAGCCACTGAGACAAACAGCTTTTTGATATTCTGTATGTCAACTGTTTAGTCTCACCCGTGTTTATGTGAGTTTATCCTACAGCAGAATCATAAATTAAGTTAACGACAGTTTAATATGTATGGTGGGTGTAAAGGGTCACGTGTGCCGAAATGTTTCAGTTATAGACCATAACCCCATTTTTATGAAGATTCATCCCAACTTTCAGTATCATATTTGGAAATTTTTTAAAGCAATGATACTTTTTGACGCTGCTGTTTGTGTTCTGTGCTGATTTTGGCCCTGGATCAGTCTGCTAGTTTAAACGTTCATGTTGGAGCCCTGGGAGATGGTAGCCTCCCCCGGATGCGTTTCAGAAATCCTACAAAAACTCCTGTATGCTTCTGTGAGGGCGTGTTTCTGTCCGTGTTCCCAGCTCCTCCTGGCTGTCCTCTTCTCTCACATTTGCGTCACTACCATGATTTTCAAAGGTGTGCTTTATTCCACTGTGAAGTGCTCCTTGTGTTACTGCTATTTTCAGTCTAGATCAGAGGTGCTTATGGAGGCTAAAGACTCATCTCAGGGAGCACATTTGGTGAAACAGAAGCGAAAGAATTATGTTTCTAGTTTCTATCAGTGTAAATCCATGCCTTCGACGCGGTTAGACTGACCTTCACATTAGGCGTAAGAAAGGAGACCTAGAGACCAACAAATAGACATCATCACGTGCTGTTTCAGTTTGGTCCCAAAGCAGTCTCAGTTCCTACATGGAAGTTTAAGATTGGGCTTCTTCACGTGATCAAAATCTGCTCTTCCACACACACATGCTGGACACATGTATGTCATCCTCATCCTCATCCTGTAGCTGCTCTCTTCCTCTCGCCATCAAACCCCTCTGACTCCACTTACATCCCACACATCCATGTTTTATTAAAATCATGTGAATGTTGGTGAAGAGTTCGTAATAATCATCAGCCCACAAGGGTGCATTCAACTCCAAGAAAAATGTGAACTTCTGGAAGTTATCTTCCCTCTTAAGTGCGGGATTCCCCCAAATGTCTAAATGATCGATGGCTGCTCGACAAAGTAAATTTTGGATTTAATATGAAGCAAGAACAGCGATGATGTCAATGGTTGCTTTGTTCTTACTGCCATTTAGAAAGGGTAAAAATATTAGCGGTTGTTTGTTACGCTCTGAAGTTTCACATTAGTCAGTGTGCTGGGTCCATTTCTGGCCTAATGAAAATCTACGGAGAAATCTGGTATTTATCTCCAATGAATCTTTAATAATTAATCAGTGTATTGGTCTAAATATAAGACATTCCCCATTACAAGACAACACCCCTCTTTAGCAGGAAATCTTGTGTTTTCAGTTGGAAATAGTGATAAAACAAAGACATTAAATGGCCTTTAAAATGAACCGTCACATTTTAATGGAATAAAACGTGATCACATGTGGTTGAAGCGCTTGTGGTTTCAGTGTAAATCAGAATTACCTGCAGCCTATTAGATAGATGAAACGTTTGCTAATGTTGATCATTTCTTAGAAACATATTTTCATTCTCATCTTCAGAGGATCTTTGGAGGCAAAACACTCGACAACACCAAATTTAACTTTTCCTGAATTCTTTAGCAAAGAGACCAAACACAATTCACCCACTCTCTTCCAGCAGCCCCTTTTTTTTGTGGGGGAGCCCCGACAAGTCACAAGTCGATTTCCGAGTGCAGCTTTTGGGTTGAGGTTTGCGCGTAGAGTGGACTGATATAATCAGATATCAGCAAAAAAATTAAAATTTGGGATTGTATCGGCCTGCATCTAAAATCTCCGATATCAGCACTCCAATACAAGCACTCCACTCCGGCACCTCTATCTAGCAGCGCCCAGATCCAGCGTACATAGCCCACATAATCACAACAACACTGTGTACTAAGGTACTAACAAAGTAGCAAAGAGTTAGAGTGATGTCGGCCGTGTGGCAGTATTTTTTGAAAAAAGTCTGAAAAGGCGTTGCAGCCGAGTGCAAAACTTGTCATACACAATTTTGTGCCAATATCGGTTCAATATGGGTAACGGTCAGTATTGAAGGCTATCAGTATCGTATCAGAAGTAAAAAAGTTGTATCAGGACATCCCTAGTTGTTGGTACTCCTGGTTAACTTCTTATGGACATAATGTGTTTATGCAAAACAATAGCAGGTGTTGCAATAGGCAGCCTGTCAGCCATCATGCTCCATCCTGAAGTACGAGCAGAGGGCTTAGCTGCAGCTCATGTTACAACAGCTTTGCCCGGTCTAAATCACTGAGTGTCCTATTTTTTTCTTTCGTGCACTCAGACTTCATATCAGAAATGATTGTTTCTGTAATTTCTGTCTTTGACACATATAAAAAACAATTCCAAGTTTTGCAAACACAATACTCGAAGAGCGTGTACGGCTAAGGAAACTAAATTAAAAAACAGCTTAACGTAAAATGTTTGGGAGTTTAAGTGCAGTATCTAATCTTAAATTATGTGAAAGTATTGCAAAATTATATTTCCGGTTCTTGTTTGAATACTTATTTTTTCCTTCTTTATGACCAAGTACATGAAATAAACAGGACTGAAGGGTCAGCTGACTGACTCCTAAAAAATATCACCTCCAGACTGCAGAACTTTTTCTGGACTTGGAGCACTGAGGTCTTGGTTGATGTTAGCTCCATGTGCACTTCACCCGGTACAAAGCTGGGTGTATCCTCAGCAGGAGGTGGGGACAGACGGCCTTTGAAGAAAACAGGAAGTCATTCTGTCCTTTTGTTTTCTCTCTGCTCTTGATGTTTCAAACTCAAGTGGACACCTTTTGTTGCTTTATTACTTTTCCTCTGTGATGTCTGTGTGCGTCTGTGTTCGAGAGTAGTCAAGTGACAGTGCAGTGGATCTTAGTTCTTGTGTCTGAAATTAGTTGTTAAAAGAGATTTTCTTTTTTGTTTGTTTTTGTAAGGCTTCATTTAATTGGGTATGTGATTCAGGGTCTATAGTGTGTGTGTGTGTGTGTGTGTGTGTGTGTGTGTGTGTGTGTGTGTGTGTGTGTGTGTGCCCCTCTCTGTCTGATCTTTGCCTTGGATGGGCCGGTGTTTATTGTTGGGCCTGCGACTCATTGTCTCAAGGAGCTCAGATTGCAGGCTTTATTTTAGGCTGCGTAGGAATGTCCTCCTCACTATTCTGGTCCTGACTGATTGACTGACACCGCTACCACTCTGGCATCTGCACAAAATGGTGTTTACCCAATTACTGACACTTTTTTGGGTGTTGTTTTTTTTTTCAGATATGGTTCCTTAAATAAATAACTGTAAGACCGTGACAGCATGAAAACCCCCCGCTATGTCATGTTTGCTGTTCATGCCTTTTAGCACTTCAGTGTGGCTAGCTACCATCATTTGTTTAGCTTGTTGGTGCATCCTAAATTCTTCTCTGTCATTGTACAGAAGGGAGGACAAGTCATAGACCAAGACACCACCAGTTTTCCCTTCCTTTCCATCCTCAAAGAGCCGCACATTCTTTAGCCTCTGCTGTTTGTTTTGCTAGTTGCAGCTTCCTGTTGGTGCTGGCGAGAGCACGCCTATTGGTTGTAGAGAGTGTGGACGACATTGTTCATGTTTTGCATGAGAAAAGACTAAAAGAGCTCTGATATTAAAAGATATTTGATTTGACCCAAAAATTAGAAAAGGACTTTATTTTCACTTTTGAGATATGTGAGTGACTGTGAATATAGTTGGAAATTTTGTGCAGTATAAGGTTAGCATTAGTTATTTATGAACACAATCTAAAGATGGTGAAGAGTTAGTCGTTTCTTTGCAGCGCAGTCTCATTTCCCCATCTTCGGTTCCTCTCACATCATCGAAAGGTTTTTAAGGAATGTTTTAAAATACCCCTACAAAATAAATTAGAAGTTATTTTCACTTGAGCGTGTTGATACTAGATAAGCTTTCAAGCTGCACTCTTTTAAAACTGACCTGAGAACGACAGCGTCGCACAAATTTAGTTCTTACCACTCTAGACAAAAGCTGTCCTCCGTAGATAAATGCAACTTGGTGTAACACGCCACTCTGTAAATACACCGGCGTAGCCCCTCTGTCATTTCATTTCATTTTGATTTTACAATACGCAGTTGCTAAATGAAATGTATGAGCGTAGCCCCCCTCAGGGTATACTACAGACTTTCAAACACGAAGCAACTATGTCAAAGCAAGCATACACTCATGTTCCTACTATCACCTCCCGGTTAGCCTTTCTCCTCATTCTCAGTGATCCCTCTTCTTGCCCCTCTTTTTATTATTCTCCTGAAACTGCTCAAAACCTTCCTCCTACAACCTTCTGTAGTCCTTGTAGGGCTCACGTTACCTTCTTTGTGTCTCATCTTGTTTCCTGGAGTTATTCCTGATGTGTGTGTGCTGTATCTGTACTCCTGTCTGCAATAAAGGACACAAACTTTAAGGTTGATAGATTTTACACTCATGCTGGTTATGCACTAAAGTTATGGATTAGGGATTTGAGACTGATTGGTACGCGACCAAAACTCGCTGATTTTTGCTGATATTTTCAGAAATGAAATGCGGAGAATAAGATTCGGTTTCACTTCGAAAATGTTCCGCCGTTTGAAAAGTTTCCCGACTTATCCTGTAGATGGCGCAGCAACCTCATGACAATCTTGTGGAGAGTGGTCCGCCTCAACGGTAAATAAACTAGTTTGTGAAGTAGACAATAAGTCAACAAGTTTCAGTTCAACCTACTTCACGATGTTCCCCGCTGTGCTGGTCTCAGTCACGCCGAGTTAACGGAGAAGCACCATGTAATATACAAGCTAAAGTTAGAGTTAGCCATCTGCTATTAGCCTTGCTACACTGTTAGCCGTGCCAGTAACGGTAGAATAAACAACAGTACACATTACGTGATCGAGCTACTTCTCTTACTGAAGTAGCTGTATGTCTCCAGATGAGACCAGGTAGTTGAAAACGCTTTTCTGGTCCGAGTTTGATCAGTCGGTCTTCCTGTCAGCGTGAAGAGCAGTAGCCTACAGTATATCGTATACTTGAGATATCTACAGTGTATATATATATTTTTGATAACTTCATAAAAAATTTAAAAAATCTGCCGATTGATCAGTAATCAGATTTTTTCCCCCCCTAATAATCTGTATCGGCATCGGCCCCCAAAAATCCATATCGGTTGGGCCCTATTATGGATACATATTAGGACTAAAATCCCTCACATGTTGCTCATTAACTCTACTTTCTCTCCATTGTTGCAAGAGTCCACTTTAGATTATCAAACCATGTACTTCAGAAGGTTGACAGAGAGGAAGCGCTGGCTCTTCTTCTTCTTGGTGTTAAATAATTCAGTTGGAGCATTAGCTCAGTAGCAGCGCAGCGTTTAGGGCTGATGTGATCAGTGGTCTGTGATGTTGGATCACACTTGCACACAAACACACCCGGGCTGTGGGTAGAGAAGGATGCAGCTGTATAACTAATGCCACTCATGTGAGTTCAACGAGCAGCTAATAAAACCTCAACTGAAGCACTTTTATTTTACCAGTAAGTTCTTTCAAGGTCGTTTTTTTCTTCTGTTGACTGAAGCTTGATTTCAGGAGAAGTTTGCGCTCAGAGCAGCGTGGTTATTCATAGATGTCATGAAGGAAAGAACATCTGACGCCGGGCTTATCTCTGGCTGTACAATGATGGTACTAAAGGTCAGCTGTTTGGGAGCGGTCTGTACCAAAACGGGGGGGATCTGGCGTCCCCCCATGACACGTCCCCTGGATATAAAAGTATGGCTCAAAAGTCACAAGTAACAGCACTGTCATTGTAGCGTTTGTATGAAAAACCCTAAAGAGATGTCAGTGACCAGTTTCATTTCTGTTGCTTTGACGAGAGCTTGTCCAGTAGCTCTGATGAGAAAACACCAAACCCCAGTGGGTATTCTTGTTCAAGAATACTGACATTGGAAAGTACTGGAGGATATGGCAGAATGGTAACAAACACGTGTGGGGGATGTCTTATTACAAAGATAATGTCAGAGACTAAAATAAAACCAAATTTATTGATTGTTAAATGAATATAACTGGCTTTTACATATTCAAGTTTTTAGGTATTTTCTGGGGTTTCGTGAGAATTTGACAGGGTCACTTGCAGACTATGCTGTTCTCCCAATACCAAGAAAAAGCCTCAAGTCAACACCCAAAATAAAACAAGGTGTGTGCAGGAACCAGGAGGACACGCTGATAGAGACGAATATGTAAATGGGGTGGATGAGCAGCCACATTTCCAGGAAAGGGATGTGGGTGACGCAGGGGAACAGGAGGACACAAACAGGATGCTATCTGCTGTGACTTCCTGTGCAATTTTAGAAATAAAGTTTTCCCATGAATTTCTGTGAAAGCCACACATGCACACACAAGCCCTCCCATGCTTTCTTCAAAAGAGAGGAGTCCAGTTTTGAAGCTGTGCTCCAACATCCAGACACAACACCTGACCTCCTTATTTCCTCTGTCTGTTTTCAGGAGATGTTTAGACATTGAAGACCCTGGATGGAGCTTGACTGGGGCCTGTACTGTTTAAGGTGAGAATGTAGTTCATGCACAAGAACACACACACAGTGAAAAAAAAAAAATCCGACCATATTCTTTTTGCAGCGAGATGTTGTATTTTGCACGTTGACAGCTGTTGTTTGTGTACCTGCTGGTTGGTGCTACATATCTGATTTTGTCCCCCGAGCAAGTCTCACATTGTCAAATGAGGAGTCAGGGTTAGTGGCAAACTGCCAGGCCTGCTGGGACTCATCTGTGGTTTTGGTGGGCTGCCGCTTACAGCCTTTCACTACACTCCTCCAGAAGAGTTGTCGACTCAGACTGTCAGTTTTTCAGTTTTGTTTCTTGTCAGACTTTTTTACGCTGAATTTCTAAGTAAGAATAAGTTACAAGGAAATCCTATCAAAGCATGGTCGATTAAAAAAAACTCGACTCAAAAATAGTTTTTAAGAATGACAGTCGAAACCTGTTCACATGTACCCTAGTTCTCCCATGACCACAAAGGAAACTGTACAGTACTACTGTTCACCCCCCTGTTTTCAGTAAGACCCCCAGCAGCCCCGAGCTCTGCTGTTCGTCTGCTTCAGGATGTGAGGCTGACTGAGGGCTGATGTCATCTTTCTCCACTGCTGCAGAGGTGAGCCTCAGGACAGAAACCAGGAAGGACAGAAGGGTGGGCAGAGAGAGTTGCAGCCAGAGCAGAGCAGGCAGATTTAGAGAGGGTGGTGTGGAAAGGTAGACAGACAAGAAGCATGCCGTGCAGATTTACGATGCAGAGCGTGTGTCTGAGACTTGCTGCTCCCCTTGTAGTCGTTGTGGAGGGTGACTGGGCTGCATGTCCTAGCCTGCAGTTGCAGGGTAGGAGCTCTGTAATGGCTTCTATCGGTTGCACACTCTTCCACTCAGGAATGAGCTCACTCTGTTTTTAAGGAGGCCCGAGCGTGCTCATACACACTCGCAGACACACAGTCCTGGATAAGATTGGTGTTTGAAAACAATTTGGCGTTACAGCCGCACGCTACGGCTTTGTGTGCGTCTCTGGGTGGGAATAGGAAAGAGCAGTGACCTTAGACACTGGCTTCAGAGGCTTCCTCTAACATGAACTCTGAGGGGGTCAGACACAGGGCAATGCCAGAGCAAGAAAACAAGGGCAGGGTCCCCCAGCCCGGTATTGCTACACCCAGAGAGGGAGGGAGGGGTTGTCTCAGGATGGTTAGGGGGAAATGGCAGTAAAAACCCATTGGATGAAAGAGCGGATGTAGCCTAGTATGGAGAGAAAAAAAGAATGTGGAAAAGTTCTTACTATGCCCTGAAAACGCTGCGGAGTCTGTCTGGATTGTTTCCAAGCTCCACAAAACGAAGCAGTGTGTCCTTTTTTTTTTTTTCTCATGCAGTCAGAAAGAGGCGGGTTGGGAAATAGATGCCTCACTGGTAGTGTAGCTACCAGGACTCATCTCTTTAACAGACTTTTGCTGCAACATGTCTGAACATGTAAGTGCACTGGAAATCGTTTGAATAAGCGGTTTGCCTTTTACGTGTGTTGCCGCCGTTAACAGAGTGGCGTAGTTCTCCAAGGCAGGCAGCCTGAACGCAGGATGACCCGTCTCCCCTGAGGCTCCAAATCACTACATCATCATCAGTCGCTCCTCGCAGTGGAACAGATGAGATTTCACTCCCATCAAGCACTAAGCAGGAACCAAGGCTGCTTTACTGACTGGATAGTCTCCCCTCATAAATGTGCAGGAATCCACAATCTACTCTTCCCCTGAAAGTCACTTCATTTATAACCTCAGTAGCTGGGGGGATTTTGTGGATCTCTCTTTTAACCTAAGCTTGTTGAGGTTTGCCTGAATTCACAGTCATTTCTTCATGGAGGAGAGAAAAGAAACTGCCTCTTAAGACACTTTAGTATCTACACTTATCCCTTTATCAGATTATACCTCACACATATGAACAAATAAAACCACACACTCCGATCATTCTCCCTCATTGTGTTGCTCTGCGTCTATATGGGTTTAGGTGTTATAAATGATGATGTCTGTGCTTTCAGGTGCTGATATGCGCTGAAGATGAGTGGCGTAGGAGACAACTCGTTGGAGCCGCTGTGCTCCGATCGCAAACGTAAACTGTCCACCTGTGACACACCAGGCTTAGGGTAAGTGCTGTTTCTTTTACATGCTGATAACATACCAATTAGGGATGGGCGATAGGGGCAAAAAAATTATCACCATAAGATTTGCCATTCTGGCGATATCGATCAAAGTCCCGATAAAATGATGTCAATTCTATAATAATGGAAAAATAAAATCAACTGTTTGTCCAGTGAGGTTGGCAGAGGTAACATCATAGAGCAGGAGAAAATTAGTACAACAAATGAGGTTTGCAAGATGTGCGACATGAAAATGAAATACAGCATAAATAAGACAAACATAAGGGAAAGCCAAATGCTAAATTAGCTAGTTGTTGAAAAAAACTGTTGAAAAAATTAAAATAAATCGCAATATATTGTATCGCAATACTCAGTGTATTGCAAAATGTTAAAAATTGCAATAATATAGTATCGAGGCCCAAGTATCGTAATGATATTGTATCGTGGGGCCACTAGTGATTCCCACCCCTAATATTTTTGACTCATTTTGTCTTGAGAACACCAGTTGGAGTAGTCAAATAAGATACTTGGGCACAAGTTGAAGTGGTAGATTATGGAGAAAACTAATGACATCAGACAAGTCTCAAATGTGAAAACATTTTCAACATTTGTTGAAAACTCGTATTGCACAGAGTGAACAGCAGCAGATCCACTGATCGATGTCAGGCATACCTGACTGTGCTTGTCTAAGCCCCGGTCTTGAAGGAAAACCCTCATGTGGAGCCGTGTTCAGTAACGAGCTGCTCAGAAACGTCTTCTTCATTACCTTCGGCCATGTTTGTTTGTTATTTTGCTCTGTGTGGGCTATGGCTGCGAGACTGTCACTCACAGTTCTCTCATCAACTCGCGTTTATCGTATTTATCATGAGATGGCGAATATTTCTCATGGAGGATTTTTCTGACAATACATCGCAAATGATAATTAGAGATGCACCCATCCATTTTTTTCCGATCCAATCCAATACCGATACCTGGGCTGAACATATCGACCGATATCGGATATCAATCCAATACTTGAATAAATGAACTGTATACCTCGCCTTGTGAGTGAAGGCATCCGGCTTGACATTAGCCTTGTTAAAAAAAGGTAACAAATTAACACAAATATACATTTACTTAATATTATTTATTAACAAATAACAAACTGCACATTATCACACAGCAAAAAGAAGTAAGATTTCCATGTAAACACTTAGTGCAAGAGGATAGACAGACATAGAATATAGAGCGAACAGAATCGCTGTGTTGCTGTGTGTGATATTAAGTAAAAGGAAAAAAAAAGACTGGATCAGAATGCTGGATCGGCGTCATTCATCAGATATCCGATCCAGTTAATTTGTCAATATCAGAGCTGATATCCGATCCGAATATTAGATAGGTGCATACCTGACGATAATTTATCGCCCATCCCTAATACTAATTCACTTTGTCTGTTGCTGTTTGTGGTGATGTGGATGTCAGCAAGCTCATAAGGTCACTTCCTTCCTGCTGACCTCATGGAAACATCCCTCCCCCTGGTTCAAGTGTGTGTCTGCTAGTAAATATCTGAAGCATCTGAGCTCTGGCCGTATGGCCTGTATACGGACGGGGCATTGGGAGGTGAGGTTGTCATGGCAACTTGTCTAATCCCCTTGGTGCCCTGGCAGGTGTGACAAGCGTCGCAGGGAACAGGAGAGTAAGTACATCGAGGAGCTGGCTGAGCTCATCTCTGCCAACCTCTCCAACATCGACACCTTCAACGTCAAGCCTGACAAATGTGCCATCCTCAAAGAGACAGTGAGACAGATCCGACAAATCAAAGAGCAAGGTATGACCACTGCGCAGAATCTACCCACACACACTCCCACTCATTGGCAAAACTACATACCGATCATACAAGTTTCCCCAGTGTTGGTTTTGTTAAGTAAACAGAATAAAGTAAGGCTGAATACTGTGAAGTGCTGTGCTGCAGGATGGATTATATACCAATGATGAAGTGGTGTGTTTGGGTCACGGCCAGCCTGCTGCAGACCAACAGCCAGTTTGGCTGATTGTATTGCTAGGGGTAAATGAACACCAGTAATCGAAACCAATGCTGGGTGGTCATGGCTCAAGGCTGTGACTGACAGCGTGTATCTGTTAGTGCCAAACCTGCTGCTCTCCAGGAGTCTGGTGGTGGGTGACACTGGTGACTCAGAAACCAGACTTTAAGGGAGCTGCTGCTATTCTGTAGTTTGACATGATCGGATACACTTTGTGGGAGTTTATTTTCTTCTTACCTGTTTTATCTCAGTACAGATTGAATCAGTGAGGTTAAGTGGGAAAGGAAAAGAAGGAGCTATCACACTGGAATCTACCTGGAGGGTCACAGCTGACTCCATCCGGCCTGGGTGTTGAGCAGTCTAGTTGCTATAGTTACAGGATGGAAATAAAAGGGAATCCGTCATTTTTTTCCTTCTTTTTATTTTTATTTTCACATGGTTTCTCTCTCCTTGTCAATAACTCTGCCATCCTTGTGAATTTAATGTCTCAGATGCCTCCTTGTTTACAACAATCACGGTTTGTCAGGCCTGTTTCGTTCAGTTAGACATGGAGTTAAACTCAGTGTCATATTATTTGTCGTTGAGTGAAGTGCCACAGATGACCCGGCTATATAAAGTGGTATCTAACAAAGCCTCAAACACATGCTGATTTTAAAAATAGAAAGGCATGTCAACCATGCATCCTGATGAACACTGCCACCTGCTGGACAGAGAGTATTTAGTGTCACAGCCGATCTCAGGGAGTCGACAATATAAAAGCTGGTATGAAATGAAGTCAAAGTCACGATGAAGTGTAACACCAAAAAGTAACATCTATATAACGGGGGTCTTCAACATCCAACTACTCAAAACATGTTTCATCAGAAAGACTAGACTTCTCTTCTTGAGTGAGTCCATGAAAATGAACAGCAGTACTGTAGTCAGCACATGATTTCACAGGGAGATTGTGTAAAGACAGTTATCTTCATGGGTTTTCTGATGTGATCCTGTGTCCTCAGGGAAGAGCTCTTGCAGTGATGACGATGTCCAGAAGGCTGATGTGTCCTCCACTGGACAAGGGGTTATTGACAAGGACCACCTTGGACCGCTGCTCCTACAGGTCAGTCATAGAGAGCAAAGAACAAGATGCTGGTTCCTGTGCTCCAGTAGGGAATTGCTCTCATTGTTTCTCATTTGCTAACCCATGAAATCCACCCCACGGTTTATATGTAATTAAAAGATTGCGACCAAACACAATAAACTGGACTATCATATCCTCTTCAGGCCTTGGATGGTTTCCTGTTTGTGGTAAATCGAGAGGGCAGCATCGTATTTGTGTCAGACAACGTGACGCAGTATCTACAGTACAAGCAGGAGGAGCTGATCAACACCAGTGTGTACAAAATCATCCATGATGAGGACAGAGAGGAGTTTCACAAGAATCTACCCAAATCCAATGGTAAGACAATGTTTAGGTGCCAGCACAAATGACTGCTGACTGTTGTTAACATACATACAGTTCTCAGCGTGAATGAGTACAGCCCTTCAGAGTTGTCAGAAAACCTTTTAGTTTCCTCTCAAAATCAACATTTTCTATGTCAGACTATTCAATAAAACACTCCCCAAATGTAGGCCATTGATTGCAAACAAGATTTTTTAAGTTGCATATATGAAAATATTTTTTCAATTTCAAATCAGGATGCAAAAATGAGTACACCCCAATCAAAGTTCTAATAGCAAAGCAAAATTTTAATTGCCATATCACCCTTAAATTCATCTTACGGTAAATAAAATGAAACGTTAAACTCAGCTTTGTCAAAACTTTGGAAATTGTACTTTTACTCATCTATATATTGAGTAATACATTACTTTTAATAGGGGTTGTGCTGAATTATGCTGGGCACTGTATGTGTTATTTTACCAGAACCCCTGAATGTATTTCACCAAACACACACGGTCACAGTCACATGCTCATGTGGTGTCTGTTCTTCTTCTCTGTAGCACCTAATGGGGCATCCTGGGGTGGAGAGGCACCGCGGCAGAAGAGCCACACCTTCAACTGTCGCATGCTGGTGAACTCTGTTCATGGAATGTCCGAAGAGAGGCCTGGAGGCCAACGCTATGAGACCATGCAATGTTTCGCCCTCACTCAGCCCCGAGCCATGATGGAGGAGGGGGAAGGTAAAAGCAGCGTTGGCGTCTTCAACAGCTTTGAGATCGTTTGTTTGTTTGTTTGTTTGTTTTGCTGTTAACAGTATAAACCTTTAGTGTGTATCAAGAGTTGGAGTTGATGTAGATCTCCTATCAGCAACTCTTCTCTCTTCCTGCTATCAATATAAACAAACTGCAGCTTAAGCCATCCAATCATCAAAAAGGGGGATTTTTGTAACACATTCGGAATGAGAGTGCTCGAAAAAATGGATTTATATTTCTCAACTTTTCAGCCGAGAATAAAGAACTGAACAGGAGATTATTTTTAAGCTCAGCATGCTTCATTTATATGTGTCAATCTGAATATAATTGGACATTCAGTTTAAGGCGTCTCTGTGTCATACTTGTTTCAGAGAAGGACCTTGGCTAATATAAAACAACATTTGACATTTTAAGTTATTTTCATTTTGTTGGTTTTGGTTGGTGACATTCACCGTGCTTGTTTTACATATTTTTAATTCCAATTTCCCTCAGTCGTTTATTCTATATGAAAAATCTTGTGTCTTCACTCAGATTTGCAGTCATGTATGATCTGTGTGGCCCGGCGCATCATTGCTGTGGAGAGGACAGAGAGGTTTAGCACACGTCATGAACTCTCTGGTAAGTAAACTGTGTGTTTTTCCTTTTTTTGCAAACACTTAATTTCTCACTTACCCCTTTATTTTTTTCACTGCTATAGCCTAGTATCTCCATAATTTCACCATGGATTTCTTCACTTTTGTGGTTATTGTGTTTTTTCCTCGCCTTTACCCTTTTCAATCCTTTTGCAGGCAAACTCATTGAAATCGAACAGCAGAGCTCTCCTCACACCACAATGCGTCCAGGCTGGGAGGATCTGGTGAGGCGCTGCATGCAGATGTTCCTCCATCGAAGTGAAGGACAACCGTGGTCCTACAAGCGCCACTATCAAGATGGTACATACAGCCATGTTTCTCTACCATAGTATCTCACCGGTCCTGTTTACCCAAAGAAACCCAAACATACTAAAACTCTAGATAGGTAGATTCTACTTGGCTGACTGTTAGGAGGGCAGGTTTATGTGCTCATCACAGAAGCATACAGAGAATATACCAGAGTCACATCCATTTTTATTGTAGAGGGCACAGTCTTAACTGGATGCACAGAAGGCTCAAACTCTTCATACACAGTCTCCATTACAGCAGAACTACTACTAGTCTTATGAGATACAATTAAAAACACTCTTGACTTTACAAGATGAAACAGGGGATGCATCTTTTTTGCAGTTAAGTCCATAAATGATAATCGTTCTGACCTGAAGTGAGAATCAGTCTATTCCTGTCAGTTTATTTTGTAAATGGTAGTTCTTTGACAAAGGGCTAAACCTTGATGGTTTTGGTTTGTCGTTTGTTCTTGAACATCTAATGAACAACCGCTCAAGATCAGAGGACATTTCTGACAGATCAGTCACCTGCACAAGACAGTCCGAAGAAGCAGTTACACGCTATATTTTATTACCTTTGTATTATATGTATGCTATGTCCCATTGTTGGCTGATTTACTGGGTTTTGATTGGCTTTTCTCCTCTGCCCCAGCTTTCCATAACGGCCATGCAGAGACCCCACTCTATCGCTTCTCACTCTCTGATGGCACCCCAGTCACAGCCCAGACCAGGAGTGACCTCTGCAGGAACCCCAACACCAATGAACCACACTCTTTCCTCTCCACACATCTGCTACAGAGGTGCGAACACTTGAACAAGGACAATAAGCAAGGATCATTTCCAATAATGAAGAGTGTTGTTCCTACTTTGTAATATATATATATTTTTTTTCCTTTGCAGGGAACAGAATGGTTACCGTGGGAACCAGGGCGGAGGTATGAGGCCTCCAAACATGGGTGTGAACAACTCTAATCAACAGATGAACATGGGCCCAGGAGGAGGCATGGGCATGAACAGGGGCTATGGCATGGCTGAGCAGGGCAACATGGCTCAAAGAGGAGCACCCCCCTACACAGGGGGCAACCGCATGAACGCTATGAACCAGATGAATCAAATGAACCCCATGCATCAGATGAATCAAATGAATCCCATGCATCAGATGAACAACATGAGTCAAATGAATCAGATGAATTCCATGCATCCAATGAACTCCCCCATGAACTCCATGAACCAGATGGGGCCCATGAATCAGATGGGCCACATTGGCATGCAGCAGCACCAGCATCAGCATCAGCAGATGGGGCAGTTCCATGGAGGTGGAGGTGGAGGTGGACCTGGTGGATTTGGGATGGGGATGACGAGTCCTCCTCAGGCCAGTCCAGGGATGAATGGCCCCCCACACAATGTTATGGGTTCACCCAGAGTCCGAGGAAGCCCCAAGATGGGTGCCAGTCCATTTTCCCCCGGAGGTAAGAGCAATCAGTGACTTTTAATCCACAAAAAGGTCACATTGAGAAAATGAGTGCTTATTAAATTCTCCCTCATGGATCAGTGACAAATCTCTTGTTGTGTCCTCTGCAGGTATGAACTCTCCTATGAGCTCCAGTCATGCTGGAAACTCTGGAGGAGGAGGCACCACCTTCTCCAGCAGCTCTTTGAATGCCCTTCAAGCCATTAGTGAGGGAGTGGGCAATCCCATGCCCTCCCCACTCACCTCTCCCCCTCCCCACAAGCCTGACAGCTCGCCAAGCATCAACTCCACCAACCAGGCAGCAGGCGGGCCGTGTAAATCAGGCCTCCCAGCCTACTCTGACTCCAAGAGCCCTGGAAGCTCACTGGGAACTGGTGGAGAGCAGCAGACTCAACAGCAACCACACACACCAACCAGCGAAGGCCCTCCTGACAAGCCAGACAGCCAGGTCAGCAGGGAGGCAGGTCAGGTTGGAGGAGAAGCCAACCGAAGAGTCCCAGACAACAAGTGCCACAAGAAGCTCCTGCAGCTCCTCACATCCCCCACTGATGAGCTGGTGCCACCAAATCACACAGCAGGCTCAGCAGCAAGCTCCACCCCTGAAGCTAAAGACGGAACAGCTGGTGTTACCAGCCCTTCGTCTTCAACTGGAGTGTCATCCTCCACAGGCGGGAACCACGGCTCTGTGCCCTCCTCTGGTGGCACAGGACATTTATCGAGTCAGTCACTGCAGGAGAAGCACAAGATCCTCCACAAGCTGCTGCAGAATGGAAACACTCCCGATGACGTGGCTCGGATCACCGCTGAAGCCACGGGGAAGAGCAGTCTGGACTCAGGGGCAGCAGAGCCAGGACCTGCAGCCGCAGGAGGAACAAGAGGAGCAGAGCCAAAGCAGGAGCAGCACAGCCCGAAGAAGGAGAAGCCCCATGCCCTCCTTCACTATCTGCTCAATAAGGATGACTCTAAAGAAAGCAGTGATATCAAACCAAAGCTGGAGGACCTGGAGGGAAGAGGGGCCCAGGGTGCAGGGGTCACTAGCTCTGACCCCCACTGCATGGATGGGAAGGTCAAGCTGGAGCCCTCTGATGAGGTGACTCTTCTGTCCCAAACAATTTACGTGATACAGTCTGAAATACCCGATGGCATATTTTGTAATCCTTTCTGTTTTCATGGTTTAGACGGAGACCCTGGAGACTATTCTGGGGGTCCCGAGGAAAAACAGTGGCTTTTACCCTGAACCCGACTCTAGAGCTGGAAAGGAAGTGGGAAACAAACAGAGCAATATTCCTGACAGTTTGCATGGTGAGTCAGCTTGCTTCCTTGTTTAAGGAGATGACTGTCTAAGATACCAGAAGCGTAGAAACATTTGCATATGGTTTAAGGGCGGGAGAAAAAATCTATACAGCATAGTATCGCAGTATTTTGTCTGGTGATGTATCGTATCATCTTATTTACCAAGTGTCAATTTTTTTCAAATTAATTGCTAATATGAAGTCAAATCTGTGGTAGTGGAAAAATAAAATCAACTGTTTGTCTGGTGAGGTTGGCAGAGGTGACATCATAGAGCAGGAGAAACTGAGTGCAATAAATATATATATATATATATACCGAAGGTTTGCAAGATGTGCAACATGAAAATAAAATACTGCGTAAAAAAGACAAACAAAAAGGAAAGAAAATTTTTTAATCGGCTGCACAATTGTAAAATGATATAAATCGCAATATATTGTATCGCAATACTCACTGTATTCAAAAATGTTAAAAATCGCAATAACATCGTACCGTGGCCCAAGTATGGTGATAATGTCCAATCATGGGGCCACTGGTGATTCCCACCCCTAGTTTGCTTGATACTTGTCCTGTTATGCTGCGTTCGAGTTACCTCAGAAGTCAGATGCCCGAGCTGAAAATGACGTCACACCCAAGTTACGAGCACTTCGGTTACTAAGTCAGAAAAAAGCAAAATCTGAGGCGGAAACAAGATGGCTACATCTACGAAAGTTATTTTAGCGCTTGCCTTATAATTGGACAAGGCAAACGCTAAAATAACTTTCGTACATGTAGCCATCTGTTGATTTTGCTTTTTTCCGACTTGGTAACTGAAACTCTGGTTAACTCGGATGTGACGTCATTTTCGGCTCAGACTTCTAACTTCGGAGGTAACTCGGACGCAGCATTAGTCCCTCACAAAGTAGAACATTTGGGGTGTTAAGGAGGCGGTTTTGAACTTAAAATCTAAACGTAAGAGGGTATTTATTCAAAATATAATTTTGTCCGTATATTGCAGATGGAGAGAGAGGCCCCATGCCTTCAGGTCAGCGTGGTGCCTATCAGAGAGCCTTGTCCATGGATGCCAAGCCCATTGGTGCTGAGGGAGCAGTAGGAGGGGGGCTTGCTGGTCGAAGGAACGTGCCTTGTCCCTCATTGATCAAGCAGGAGAACATGGATGCTTCGATCAGACCAGGGGGTGTTCCAAATGGCTTCCCTGGAGGCATGAATACATGTCCACCACGAGGACACCCAATGAGTGAGTTCATCACCTCCTTGTTTGAACATCTTAGACAGTCTGGCTTCTTTGGGTGACCTGTTGCTCACAAAGTGGAGTCATGGGAATTGTTGCTTTCTCTGACATCAGTTTTCTTCAAATATTAAAAAGTACAGGAGCAGTGAATCAAGAACACACAAAAGGACTTCATTGACCGATGACAAACTCACTGATTGTGGTCTTTCTGCCCTCCAGGGGGAATGGGCAGGGGAATGGGAATGCCTCAGCGCCCTCCCATGTCAGCTCCAGGGGAATGGGGTATGCCGAGATCCAGCAGCAGTCCTGTTGCAGGACCAGGACACTCTGGAATGGGTCGCTCTGGTCCAATGGGTGGATCTATGATCAACCGCTCCAACAGCGTACCTGGAAACACCCAGTCTATGCTTCAGCAACAACTCATGGATATGGGTAAATCACATGTTTCTGTTAAAGTGTGTGAAGCTGTACCTCATCATTGGTCGATAGTTGTTTTGATTAAGTATAAAGCTCAGACTAGTTCTTTTTTTGTGGCTTTTTCTGGTTGTTAGCACTAAGAAATGACTAAAGACTATCAATTGACTGTACAGGTACTGGTGAAGCCAATATGGGTATGAACCGGTTTGGTGGGCCTCTACCTCAGTCTCCCTCCTGGCCAGACTCTGCCATGGGAATGGATAGACCGCAGGGTAACACAAACAGGTAAACCCGCTTAAACTATCCCTTCAACATCAGTCCAACTTCATCTGAATTCAGTTACCACTGAGGGACAAAACAGAGAACAGCTGTGACTTTGCGTGTCCTGTCTTTTAGAGATCAGTTTGGACACCCCCTCGACGAGCTGTTTGGGCCCCTGGCAGCCAGTGAGGGCCCAAGTGATGAACGAGCACTTCTGGACCAGCTGGACTCTCTGCTAAATACAGCTGATGTCATTGCTCTCCAGGAGATAGACCGAGCCTTAGGCATCCCTGAAATAGTAGGACAGGTACAGAACGCACTAAAGTACACACTTTGTATTGCACACCTTTCGACTTTAAATTATTTTTTTTTTATCCAAACTTCTCTGACATGCAACTCTTCTGCACCCCAGACCCATGGACCAGAGGGCCAGCAGCAGGGACCAGAACAAGGCCAAGGTCAGTGCCCACCATCTGAGTCTTTCCCAGGGCCAGACTCCTCCTTAGGCATGGACCAAAAACCAAGTTACAGCCAAGGCTACCCTGGACCTCCAGGGCCCCCCTCTGTGGGTATGCAGTCTGGTTACGGAGGCAACACGATGCAAAACCAGTCTCCTGGAGGCTTCAACCCTATGATGAACCAGATGGGCCAGACGGGGGGCTTTCCTGGCATGGCCAACATGGGCAACCCTCGTGCAAACATGATGCGACCTCGCATGATGACTGCCACCAAGCCTTTGCGACTGCAGTTGCAGCAGAGACTTCAAGGACAGCAGGTGATCTCACACGCACACAGTGATAAGCGCAACCTTAGGAAGACTTTTCATAACATTTTATCAAGAACGTAGCCGGTTTTACAAATTGATATGGCCCCTAAGTTAAAAGAGAACTAAAAAAAAACTCTACTGACAAGAGCTTTCTCTCATCCCACAGTTTATGAATCAGGCTCGACAGGGCATGAAAATGGAACATGTCCCTGGAGGAAACCCTGCCATGCATCAAGGCATGCAACCGGGCATGCAGCAGGGCATGCAGCCCGGCATGCAGCCTGCAGGCATGGGCGGTCAGGTATGCAGTCAAATGTGTTTGCCACCTAAATTATATAAATCATGAAGTCATCCAAAGAAATGAGGCTAAAGTTTTGATGTTTGTTTGCAGCCTGGTTTTCTGAATGCCCAGATGATGGCTCAGCGCAGCAGGGAGATGATGACTATGCAGATGAGGAGGCAGCGGATGATGATGCTCATGCAGCAGCAACAGAGGCAGGAACAAGGTGCACCCAGAGGCTTTAGCCCTCCCCCAAATGTCACGGCACCAGGTGGAATGGAGAACCCCATGGGAGGACCCCCTATGAACCAGCCTGGACAGCAAGGATTTAACTATGGGGGTAACTATGGTAAGGTCAATGAGACACAGTTTTAAACAGCATCTTTCATGATCTTTGAACACACCCTTGACTCATTTCTCATTATTGTTGTATTTGCAGGAATGAACCAACAGGGGGACCCATCATTCATGGCCCCAGGTAGCAGCCCACCAGGAAACATGATGCAAGGACGGATGGGAGGCCCTACTCAGAACAATATGATGCAGGGGATGCAGAGCAATCCACAGGGAGGCCCCATGTATCCATCAGGAGACATGAAAGGCTGGCCACAGGGTGGCATGCAGCGCAACAAGTATGTAACAACTCCACACTTTTGTCAACTTTCAAAGATAGGTTTGTCGTTAAATTAACAAGATGTTTCTAGCCCCAGCCCAGAGGCTTAACCTCACTGAACCACTAAAATATCAGAGATGAATGACATCCTTTATTTCTCTGTTTTCCAGCTCATATCCTCAGCAACAGTTCCCCCAGCAAGGTAACCAGGGCCAGTTTGGACCCATGATGATGAATAATGCCATGGGCGGACCTGGGCCAGTTGGTGGGGCAGGTGCTGGACAGATGGGCCAGATGCCAGGACAGAGGCCGGGCCAGATGCAAGGCCAAATGGGCATGAACCCCATGGGGATGGGTAGAATGCCAATGGGACCTGATCAGGTAAGTCACACTTTGACACACAAGAGTTTATGTGAGGCTAAAGCTTTAAACCTCATTTTCAAGAATAATACAGAAATGTCGATGAAAACTACTTCATTTAAACCATGAGGGGTATTTCACATTTCTTTATTTTTTCTCTGTCGCAGAAATATTGTTGATAAACTCGGGCTGAGGGCAGAACTGGGAGCCTGACAGCTGTGGCAGAGGGGTCTGCGCCCCTGAGGAGAGCCGGACCTGGACAAAAACTCAAAACACAAACGCAGGAGGAGTTCTCCAGAATAAAACTTGATGCAAGAAACACAAAACAACTCACAGTTCATCCTGGAGGAAGATAAAAATGCACTGGGCTTCATCTGCAAACAACACCACAAATACTGTAACCTTGTTAAGGCGATGCACAAACACAAATATCAGTGTGTGCTGGTGCATGTTTGTGCGTGTTCATGTGAATGACCCGGTGCCGTCGGGCAGTATTCAGTGTCACAGCTAGGCTGCAGAGCGGGACTATGGTACAACTGGCTGTGGCGGCACTTTACCTGGAGGCGTCTGTGTGGAATAAAGATTGATGCAATATTTCTTTATCATTACAGCCTTACTAGAGATTCAATGCCTTCATTACAATGGGTTTCTGTTTTCTTTCTTATCCCTTGGATGCGCCTCATTCTTGAAGTCATTGGAAGCTATAAGCACACTGTTTTCTATGTTATGCAGATTGGAGCAATAAGTCATGCCTCTACACTTTTGACTGTAACTGAGCATCAAAGCCCCTGTTATAAGCAAACAAATGGTACTGCAGTATTAGATGTCTCAAATGTCCTCTGTGAATATGAATTGTAAATATTCCACAAAATATATCAAACCTGCTTTTAAAGACCCGTAATTGCACAAAGTATGAGACCTGGTTGTATTTTTGTGTCCCATAGGTCAATAATACGGATTTGGTTAATTTGCTTTTTTATGCCTTAGCAAATCTAGCAGGTGTGTATGGGTTTTTCTGTCTTTGTTGTTTTTCTGAATGCTGTATTTTAAAAATTCCCAAAAAGTCATGTATTTCATGTTTTAGCGAGGCACTTTTCTCTTGGGATGAGTATCTTATGTGTGGAAGGTTTGAGCGTTCACACTTTCAGAGGTTTAGTTGGTAGGTGGTGAACGTAGGATCAGATTTTGTTTGGTTTTGTGTCAGCTGAGCCGCTCAGGCATTCTGCAGTACAGCTGAGGACAAAAACACGCACTCTTCAGTTTACCAACAAGCCTGGTTCTCGCAGTGTTCATCCCTCGGGTGTGTTTTTCTTCACCCCATCTTCTTTTGACTGTTTTTGTTAACTTGCTGAATCTACCTTTTCAACATGCGCAATCCAAAGATACTTTTCCACATCTCTGTATATTTTTAAGGTTTCAGGTGTACATTTGTAATGCTTTGTGTTATATTAGTCTGATGGTAAATGGGTACATATCACAGATTTGAAAGAGCATTTGATGGTTATGTACTGGAAGCGTAAAAGGTGTGGGGTTAAACTGTCCCACAGTGGGGAGCTGGTATTGCAATGTGGAGAGGACTTGACACAAAACCTCAGAACATTTGATTCTAACATCTGGGGGGAAAAAAAGAAACTTACCAAGTTTTGCTGTGGAAAGAGACAAAACAATGGAATGAACTCTACTTTAAAACATATCAATATCTCTATTTTTCAGGAAACTTCATTTTATGTCCAGATTTTGTTACTTCATGCAAAAGGAATTTTCTAAAGTTTAAATGAAGTGCAAAAAGAGGCAATCGGTCATTCGGTTTGTTTTCGTTTTTCTTTGTTTGGAGGAAGGATAAGCTGTCATTTTACAGGATGTATATTACAGATTTATTCTGTTGATGTTGATATTGCTGTAAATACAAATTTCTATTTAAACACTCTTGTGTCCGTCTCCCTGTTTATGATCATACTTGTATCCATGTATTTCACTCAGTATGACTCCAGTGGCGGGGAATGTCAGGCACTATATTGCCAAATAATTACTAGGATTGAAAAACACTCAAGAGCATCATGTCTGCGAGATAATAGAAGACAAACAATCTGTATCTGTATTTTCAGGTTTCTATCAAGCTCTCACAGCAGGGTGACCACAAAGATGATAAATGACACAGTCTGATGAGTGGTCAACAGATCAGTTTTTTAATAGCTGATGTCGATTACTTAAATTGAGTGAACATTTAATCAAATAATTGTTGATAGAACAGTACTTGGCTCAGTAAAATCTTGCAACGAGGAACTTTTAGACTTCTGTCCAGCATTCTGAAATTGTTATACTATACATCATAACAGACAAAAAAACACAAGCAGGTGACTGTTTTAGATTTGATATGCTGTTAATGTTTCATGAGAAAAGAACATTTTCAATGGCAAAAAAGTATCATGGTGATATATTGATATGATGCCGATTATACCAGAATGCCAATAATAGGCCTAATTAATCCACCTTTCTTTAATTGTGATCCTAAACAAACAAAAACTAACAAAAAGCAATGACTGAAAATTTCTTCTGTAGATGACACACTGAGTAAACTGTTGGGGAAGTATTAGGACTGTTCACTAAAGCAAAAAGTTAACAGTTCTACAGAAAAAAACTGAAATTTTTGAAAGAATTATCACACAGTCTACCCCTTGCAATGAACTATGGTTGACACTTTATTATTGTGGGGGAAATACAATACAACCTAATTTCACTGGCCTGGAGTGGTCTCGAGACAAAATTAAATCAAGAATGATGTTTAGTCAAACAAAATAGTTTCATTAAACAAAGATGAACAAAAAAAAACTGTTTTATGAGAGGACATTTGCGTAGATGAACTGCAAACAGACCTAATGTGAAAGGTAAGTAGAGGAGTTCCAGTATGTAAAGAATAAAATGTGTAAGTGTGAATTTTGTGGAGTAGAAGTTACAAAAGTATCGAAAAAAATATTTAATTTACCTGAACACACTGAAAATAGAGTATTGTTCTGTATTATTACATGATTAACCTTGAATTTGAACAGCATTGTTCATGTATTCAGGCCCACGTGTGAAGATAATAGAGCTGTCATATAAATTAAGAATAAAAAGTGAAAAAATTCTGACATATGAAAAGACTCTAAATTGTACAAATAATTTAAGTTGTACAGGCCCTCAGTTCTTGAATTTTTAGTCCAAATTTGAGTGTTTTGTATATCACCAGAGGAGGGCGCTGTCGCCCACTAATACCTCTTGTAAGGAGTGCTACACAGCTCATTTAAAACAGGCTATAAGGTTACTAATAACTATGGGATTTCTTCTCACCACAGGGGGGCGCTAAGCATCTGAGGGTCAAAGAGGGGGCAGGGGGTTTGTCTTATGTTAACTAATTGATTGTAAAATATTGATAGTTTGAAAAGATTCATACAGTAGCTCCAAGACAAATGACTTACTAACTAGATGAAATGGTTACCAGTCAGTCAGACTGAATTAGACCTGAACAGCCTGGGGCTCTTCTTCTTCTTCTCCACAGCACGAGCAGATTATGTAAGAGTGATCTTAATCTGCCATACGGAGCTGATACTTATCAATAATTAGTCTATAAAGAGTGAAGATGACATAAAGGATATAATTCATTTATCTTAAATGTTTGAAAAAAATGCTCAATAGTTTGTTCAAACTTCTCCAGCAGCTCAATGCTTCAAAACTCCAATAAAGAATAAATAGAAGTGTATGTATTAATAGTAAATGTATAACATAGTAGAGTACTGTGGGAATCTCTCCCCCGGAGCAGCTCTCTCTCTCTCTCTCTCTCTCTCGCTCTCCCTCTCTCTTTCGTTCTCTCTCTAAATGTTGGCGTGGTTCCCGGCCCATCTGCGGCCTGGCCCGTGGATTACTGTTTGTTAATGTTTCAATCAGCTGTGTGTTGAGGAATGTGGAGCTATTTAACCTGAACTTCCCCAGGTGTGCCGAGGCGCCGCTCAGTCTGGGCCCCGCCGCCCTCCCCTGCCCTTGGCACAAAGCTATCACACAAACACAATCACACACTGGCCACGCCGGGGCTGCAGCTGTGCGCATCGCACCGCAGGGAAATGGGAAAAACATTGCACCAGGGAGACAGAATAAATCTTACAACGAATCGCCTTGCCAAAGCCAGTTTAACCCCTGCAGTGCCGAGAGAGTCGAACACTGCTGATTTACTCAAGAACATGCTAAAACACCACATTTAATTATTTGTTCTATAAAATAAAACACAATATTCTCTTTTATACTGTTTTTCTTTTTTTTTCTTCTTCTGATTCACTTCCCCAATTTCACTTGTTTTCATTTATCTGGCAATTGAAGAGTGGTCTACTTTTACTTGCTTCATTTATATTCTTTATGTCAGTATCAACAGAAGCTATCTCACAACAATCATATCATTCCAGGCCGTGTCCTTGTAACTTTGGAGACCCCTCTGTAAAAAATTAATCTTCACAGCCCATAAAGACGTATCTGCTCACTGTGTTCATCGTTTCTATATCAAACACTTTCTCCATTTGTCAACTTTGATGGTTTAAGCGGAGACTTCCTCTTGTAATATGATCTGGTAATGACCTATAGAGACACAAATTACCAATTAAACTGGCTCAGAGCCTTCATTATGACCCCAGCTTTGGTTTTATGTTACCTAAATGACTGAACAGCTTTTGAGTGTAACACTTTTTATACACCCCCATGACCCCTTCTTTATCACTTAGCCCACAAGATGAGTTTAGAAGTAGGTTAAAGAAGACTCACTGTCCAAATGAAGTGTTACCTTTCACTACAATGTATTTTTTATGTTTGCATTTACACAAATGTGTTTCTTGATGCATGCCCTTTCCACTTTTCTTCAACTCTCGCACACAGAAAGACAGAGAAGAAATCTTGTTGAAAAATAATTGTCTTGTTTTAATAAAAACACCAATAAGGTACATTGTAAGAAAACAATCTCTTCACATAATGTGGCATTGTAATATACAATACAGTTTGTCGCTCAGGAATCTGAGAAATTTACTTTTTTTTTTTACAAAACGTTGAATTCTCTATATGGTTTACACAAGATACAAAGAGCGTAACAGAAATTAGCTTTCTTTTAAAACTCTACAAGCAACAAGCTATGCAAGTTGCAACTGAACTTGTCTTGGTCCCCCCGGCTAACCCAGTCTATGTCTGGACGCCACCGGTCATCTTCTTTCACGGCCCTCTGATGAATGGAGAGCCCCGTGTGGTGTGTCCTCGCCGCGTGAGGATTATCCACACATTTAATTTTAAGAAGTGGGAGTTTGAAACGTCCCTACTCAGTTCAAGGTATTTTCATTGACGTGGTGAGAGGCTCACACATCAGGTAGCCTTGTTCGTTCTTCGCGTAGATCGCTGTGGGTGACGATGCGACTCTCCGTGAGCCTTTAGCGGCACATGATTCTGTCGTCTGAACATCCGTTCTGTAGGGAGAGAAAAGGGGGAAGATTAGTGAATTGTCGCATGACATAGCAGAAAGATACAAACTGGTGCGTAAAGAAGCTTTTACGCACGGACTTAGAAGCTTTTACGCGTGATTATAAACGATGACAGCTTAAGCATTATCAGTCTCAAAGCACACCACAATATTCAGAGATATCAGCTGTAGAATGTTAGACAGAATATTTACCTCGACTGCAATGCTGGCCAGCTCTGCGTTCAGAGTGGTAAGCGGCGTGCGAGCGACGTTGCCCGTGGAGAGCTGACGACTCTTCTCCGGCTCGTCCAACTCGACCTGCAGGTCCCAGATGTAGTCAATGACGTGCTGCAAGATCTCAACCTTGCTGGCCTTTTTGTTGGTGGGCAAGGTGGGCACGAGCTCCTTCAGCTTACTGTAGCAGCTGTTCATGTCCTGTAGAAAGACGGTCATTTGCTCATCCAGCAGCGGGATCTTGCACTTGGAGATGGTCAAGCTCTGTTCAGACAGGCAGCGCACCATGTCCTCGCTGCCGACCTTGCTCTTGAGGGCGCAGGTAGATCCGACAACCTTCATGTTGATTAGTGTAGGAGGTTAAGTTTCCACGAAAGTCAGGCAAAATGAGTTTATCGGCAAAGAGGCGTCTTCTCCTCTTGAAAATGTTGGCAAGGCAATGTTGACAGTTTGCAACATCCACATGGGCAAACCTCCTGTCTTTATAGCGGAGCAGCAGCCGGGGGCGGGACAGAGTTGTCCTGTTTGAAGACAGCACTCCAATGAGATGGCTGCGTTTGTATTGATGGGTCGGTACACAAAAGCTCCCTGAGCCAATGCCTGTGCTCGCCTGGTTATCGGGATTTACAATCTGTTTGAGGGATGGCGTTACAAATGGAAACAAATGTGTGTCTTTTATGGGTAATATGTGGGAATCCAGCTGTCCATGGCTTGGGGACTCTGCAGGTGTAGATAGCCTGGGGACAGTCAAGGGGTGGTGAATGCCTGGGTATGCAGTGTGAGAATGTGTGCGGGATTGGACAGGATGAATAGAATGAAAGGCAAATGAGAATTAGGCTGCCATAATGCCCTGGGTTTGCCTCTCACTATTAGATAGTTCATTGCAGATGTGGCAGTAAAGTAGGACGATTAGTTTCACAGAACGATCAAACACCCATGAGAAAAGGGGTAACAATTTGTAGACTTTAATCACATCAGGGGAAGCTGGGATTTTGTTGCAAACATGGTGACATACGTGTTGAATAGATAAGCAGTCAATCAATAAGGAGGGAATACGAATTCATCGATATTACTTTGAAGGGGCAGACTGAAGATTGTTATCGAAAATACCCTGTGTAAGAGCCCCAACAAATCTATCCCTGAATCAAGTCACTCCGAGTTCTCTTTAAGCACTTAAACGACTCTTTTCTCACACCACAAACTATCTCATTTTTCTACTTTTCTATAAAAAATCTAAGCCCGGTGTGTTGAGCAGAGCAGCCCTCGGATTCCTTCACATGTGTCTGCACTGTGTGCTCAGCCTTGTGTGCACACTCAGATCACATCGCTCTGTTCTGAATCTTCCCCCCAGATTGTCCAAACAAGCCTGAGCAGACTGGCAGGCGCCAGCGCGCTGACGTCACCCATTCATCCGAGCCTTGACGCCTGTCAGCCTGGCGCCGCTCGGGCGGTCACCATGGAGACGTCAAACAAGAGAGCTCACACTCCGCACTCTTCCATTCACCTGCGTAGCGCGCGGAGGCTGAGAACAAACCGGCTCCGGAGCTTTTGTCGTTCATTTATCACCTTTAAGCAGCGGGATGAGATTACCGCCCCGCGCACCTGCAGAGCCCCCGCTGTCAGCCGGTTAACAGAGGGACGGAGGAGGAGGAGGAGGAGGAGAAGGAGGAGGGGGCAGGCTTTAGGATGTTGGAGCATTTTAACACAAAACAACTGTTGCATTCCGACGCAGAGCACACTTTCACTTTATCCTCGCAATTAAAATAAAAGTCTCTTTAAAAAAAAATCCATTGTTATTGTTTATCAGCAGATTTCTCCAGTAACACACTATTGATGACAAATAGGTTTATCATTTTAAAAAGGTTCAAGTGACATCAGGCATCAAATTTATTCAAGAAAGACAAAAAGAAATGAATTATTTTAGTAATACAGATCACTTTCTCAATGCATCACTGTTGCATTAATTATTATTTACTTTAAAACACTCAGACACAAGTTGACTGTGCTCATGCATTCAAAGCCTGATTTTGTAAAGGGCAAATGCGTTAACATTAACTTGAAATATGAACTGTAGAAAAGCATCCCTATAAATGTCTTTGGTTGTATGTAATTCATTTAAATTGTTTCTAACATCTATTTAACTGATGCACTCTGAATCTTTTCTTTTCTTAATACTGGTGCAGATTTGAATCCATTGCACAGGTGCAGTCGGTTTATCTTGGACAGAAATTCTCAGTATGCAAATTGGTGACTAGAGATTAAAAGAAAATCATAATTTTCATCCTCTGAAATTTAAATGCAAAGGTTATCTGCAGCAAAAATACTGCAATGCATCAAGCCTGTGTAAAAAAAAAATACTTAAATAATGATGTATCTGGTAATATAACAAAACAGTGGACTGCATCATAAATTTTATATCTTTTATCATCTGCAGTGTTTCAGAATCAGAATGTCCTTTATTGTCATCATACTAAAAGTACAACATTGGAGAGCTTCTCCTTTTCCAGTGCAATAGACAAGTAAAAGTAAAGTAGTAAAAGTACAAATATTTGTAAGAAAGAAGGTACTATATAGACAAGACAAGAATTCTACAAACAGTAAAATAAAAACGTTTGTATGTTTAGATATTCTACATTATTTATAACCATTTTGGTTGAAGATAACATTTTTTTAATATCCTAATAATTGCTAATCTGACATATTGCATACTTGTTACATCCACTGCAACATGAATTGGCATTGTCATAAAGTAATTAAAACCTGCTTTTGCTCCATGGATTTTAATATGAATGCTATTTAAAGACCCACTGCTTTTATGTGCACAGATGGTATACCAGACCAGAGATAACATATTGCTGTGCTCTCTTGTAACAAAGTTAACTACCACCAGGACTGTTTCTTCGAGCTGTTGCAGTAGCCTGTAAAAACTTTTTAAAAAAAACTTTCTTTTTTGTCTTTTTCCTTTTTTTTGCCCTCTGTCCTAGGTCGCAGCTGACGGGGCGGAGGGAGGGCCGGGTGGGCAGAACAATGGGAGTGCGGTGCAGGGATTGTGGGAGAGAATCTAGGCTGGAGCCACAGTGTCTGGAGCGCCCCTCCACTCCCCTCATCCAGCTTTTGTTCAGCTGCAAAAGCTATCAGCACTTCCTACTGACACCAACAATAACTCCACACAGCTGGGCCCTTTTTAGCCTGTTTACAGCACATCAAGGCAAGGGGAGAGAGAAGACAGAGGGAAGAGGCAGAGGAGGGGAGAGAAAAGTGAAACATATTAGCTCCTGATTTTAACTGACAGAACAGCAGTGCCCTCTCCTAACTCCCCTTCACTTCTCCTTCATTGCTGACACAGACTTCATGTCCCTGTGGACTCTTGACATAAGAGTGCATTATCACTTCCCATTGTACTTCTAAGACTAGCTACTGTTTATTACAGCGCTGTTGCAACTTTTTTGCATTCAACTAACAGCCAAAAGGCTTCTTGAGTCTTAAATTGCTTTGGGACATTTTGTATCTTTGCTAAATTTGCACATGTACACAAACCTTTTCCCAAGAGCAGAAAAAAAGGTTCCATTCGGTACAAGGAAAACATGCTCGCTAATACGCCCTCTTAATCGCCCCAGCAAATATATCTACAAAAGCACAGTACAGGAAAAGACAAAGGGAAAAGTTGGTGCGTGTATCCACTTTGAGGAAATAGGACATTCCAGCAATGCCTTCACACTTTTGCTGATGTTATTATTACTGTGGGGACAATAACTAGTGTGTGTACTACTTCCTGAAACATGAAAGTGACCAGAGCACAATAATGGAGAGGGAGGACCAAATGCCTTCTTAGAACGAGGGATTTAACTTCAGTACAATTACTGAGATAGCGTCTTGAAAAGAAATGTCAAGGAATTTTATTATGAGAGGTTAGCAAAAGAAGTAAGTTTTCAACAATTTTTACTCACACACAAACACACACGTTCACACACAAACGCCGTCCCCGCGCAGCTGTGGGATTAGTTTCCAGTTCCCAGCCTCACTCTTCCTGTTTGCTTGATAATGATCACACCTGTGTGCAGGTGTGTGGAGAGGCTCTTATGGGACTGGGAGGGGTGAGTTTGGTGTTGGCTACAGAAACGTTTTACCACAACACAGTGTCACGTCATCTTTCACCAGCTGAGTGATGATTGACTGGTGCCACCCAGGACTCATCAGTCTCCCACAGAGGTGGAGGGAATTCGAGCTGAATCTGAGGGTTTGTCGCTCTATCTCTCTTCTTATGTGGATGTGTGTTGTGTATGTTTCTGCCTAGATTCCTGGTGTGTCCCAGCATGGCCCTGGCACCTCCCTGGGCAGTCCTGCCCCTGTAATGACTGAGGGCCCGTGGTTGGGAGTCACTTCCTGTGGGAGTCCTGGTTCAGAGATGTGTCATCAACAGGGCAGACCGGCTGGAGCCTCACTGCCTGTTGGTGTTTTTCCTGTGTGCAGACGGCTGCAGACTGGGTGGGTAGATGGATGCCCTTCTCTGAAAGAGAGCCAGGAGTGGGTTTCAGGAACACTATCTCCATCTGATAGCTATGTGCGGGAAACCTCACAGAGATCCTTGAAGCTCCGCAGGTGTCCTCTGCTCCATGTCCTTGGCCCAGGAGGGCTCACAGGGACAGCTTGGTCTCTATCTCTTTCTCTCACTTGTGTACATGTGTGTGAGTGTGTGCATTCACCGGACCCAAAGCCCACCCCTCCTTTACACCCCTGTGGCTATCTCCCTCTGCCTGGTTCCCACACACACTATCAAAGCCCTTTAATGGCTTCTAATTAGCTCCCCATCTGCTGGTGACAGCGCACTGGTGGCATGCTAAAGCACCCATTGAGAGCATAGGCATTGTGCTCTGGAATACTTTCCACTCCAGTGGCAATTGCCTGGAGAGAGAGCTTTAGTTGGGAGTGCGGGGGTTGCTGGGGTGGGGCTGGGTGAGGAGGGGGTGAGAAGGAGAAAAAGGAGGAGGAAGGGATGCTGGTTAAGGTTCTCTACACTCAGGGGCTAGGGGGAGGACAGGGGTGGAGGGATACACAATGGGAGACAGTGTTACGGCTTGTTGCAAATCTAATAACGCCAAGGTCTCTTTTCCGTCCACTGGTCATCAGCCCACTTCCCCCCACCCCACTAGACCATCACCACCAACATGGGCAACTATTTTACGTCCTACCTCAACCGTCCCCCGGCTTCTTTTGATTTAGCATCAGTTTGCAGCTAAACCTTGCAGGGCAAGAAAAAGTCTGACTCCATGTCAAGACTTTTGTCAAACTGGCAACACAATCTTAGGTGCTCCATTGTCCTGAGAAGCCCTGTGGTTACTGTTCCTTTCTTGGACTGAACAATGGATGCACCTCTATAGAAACTGTAAATGTAGCTTAATGAGGCCTCTTGATTAGTAGAAACTGTCGATGTGTGAATGTGGCCTGTTCGTCAGATCCTATGAGGCCTTGTCTTTTCCGGGACTTCCAGCAGAGCATCGGTCTGCTGGTAGCAGAAGGAGGGACCAGCTGTTCCCAGCTGGTAGCCAGAGGATGCTGCCGGGGGACTGGCCTGGGGGCCAGCTGCCCTCTGCTTTTAGGAGGGAAAGAAGAACGAATATATAACTGCTCCAAGGAGACCATCAGATCACCTTTAGTGTGACAAATCAAACATAGTAAGATTAACTTAAGACAGTTTTGACCATCTTGATCATTGATTGATGAAATTATGATTGTTTTATTCAAATGTTCAAAAATGATCATTAGGAAAAAATACCAGTTTTACCCTGAAAGTGACAATTGACAAGTGCTTTGAAACAAAAAGGCAATAGCTTAATTTTGAGTGTGTTTTCTAAAATACATATTAGATCACAGCAAAATATTTCTAACCATTGACTTTCTAACAGGGAACCAAACAAACATACCAACAAGAGCTTTGCCTGATTTATTTCTAAGTTTTGACTCTATGACAACTGAGTGCCCTGCTTAGAAATGACATGACCCATTATAAAGCCACATATTTGTCTCTTTGTGTGTGTGTGTGTGTGTGTGTGTGTGTGTGTGTGTGTGTGTGTGTGTGTGTGTGTGTGTGTGTGTGTGTGTGTGTGTGTGTGTGTGTGTGTGTGTGTGTGAGGGACAGAGAGAGAGAAAGAGAGAGAGAGAGACAAATGGTCTGTCACCTAACCTCTCTCTCATCCCATACCGGACACACACACACACACACACACACACACAAACCAGCACATCCCCACAGCTGCACAGAGGCGTCCAGTCAGCACGGCCAGGGGACATGGGAGCCAAAGCCCAAAGATGGAGCATGGACAGTGGCAGCTGGGGAGCTGACAAAGCCCCATTCAGAAGGCCCAGGCCTGGGGACAATGGCTGGGCCAGGCTGAGCCCTCTCCTCCACTCTTCCACCCAAAGATTAATACTTCAGATGGGCTTCCCGGTGGCAGGCAGGGCTAAAAGGAGAGCCCTCCTGTTTGTCACTGAGCATTGTGCAAGTCGCCTGAGAACCAACCTCTTGGATGAGCTTGACAAATGAGAGCCGCCATTGACAGTGAACAGATTGGGCCTGCCACTTTTGTTTTGATTGTGGAGCGGGTATAATCAAGTTATTTGGGCCTCGGGGAGTTTTTGTTTCTCTCTCCTGATGCTCTTGACACTAAAGTCCCACCTTAACAGTCACTGCTGGCTCAGCTGTGATCTGAGTGCGCTCAAGTTTCCCCCTCTGTTTGTTGTTTCTATTTATCAAAGCTGTATACAGGGCACAACAGCAAGAGGAAGTTAATTTACTTGGGTGTGGGAATCTGTCTTTTCTATTCATGTGCACCACAGAAGGCAGTGCAGGTGCAACAGGTGTAGGTGTATGTATTCTTGTCACAGTCAATAGGGCTACAGAGGTGTTATTGTCATGTTTTCTAAGCAGATGTCCCCTGTACACTGTACCTGAGCAACCTTAAAAGAATGGCTCAGCCTGGGGACTGCAGTAACCAGACCCAGCACGGGAAGGAACGGAGTAAACACAAGCACTCCGGGTGTACTCCCACCCACCCCCATACACACACACACACCTTCTCTTACCTTTTCTCTGAAAGCCTGAGTGAGTGCAGTGCAGGTGTTTAGCCCCCAGCAAGGCAGAATTTCAGGTTAAACTGTAGGAACGCTGCCCCGCCTTCACACCGGGAAACTAGAAGTGGCCGCAGAGTACACAGCGTCACACCTGCACACCTGTGTGCTCGGCGCATGTTTTGCTACTGTGATCACAATCACATGATTTCACAACAGGAAAAATTCCAACGATCTTGTCAGAGGAAAGTGCATTAATTCAGGGAGCATTTCATTATCAGTTTCATTCAGTTTAATGGGATCTGTTGCTAAATTAAGCTGGATTCAAAGTAAGGAGCTTTAGTTGTTTTACCAGTCAGCTAATGTCTGCATGAAGAGGCAAAAATAAAAGGTTAAACGTTTGTTCACATGCCCTGTAGCTCCAATAAGAGGACCTAGTGCCATCTGTTCTTGTGTTATTGATGCACATCAACCAGCCATTCTCACGATATAGGAATGTGCCTTTCAAGTAAACATACATCGACCCCCTTGAGTTCTACAGGCGCCATCCCCACTTCTCTCCCATCCCTCTCCCTGGTCTCCATCACCTACCCATCAACCCCCCCATGTCTTCTACTACCAGTGTCCCCTCATCTGCCCTTCTCCTCCCCTGGTTCCCACGTAGTAGAGCTATGAGACACTCGGCTAAGACAGGCGTCCTGCTTTTCACCCAGGACCCACTTCCAGGAATCTGCTTGTGTGAAACTTTGATGCAGCAGAAGGTGCCCTACTTTTAAACTTCATTCTTCTCCCTGGGATTGTTTCAGGGGCTGTAACAAAAGGCTAAAGAGGCTATGTGTGGGTCAGCAGGGGTGTGTGCGTATGTGCATCTAGGTTATATTCGGTTGCATTTTTCGTGTGCACGCCTGTGTTTATGCCGCAGTGTGTATGTGTGCGCGCACGTGAGGGGAGGGCTGGAGGATTATAAAGAGGAAGTGAATGGGAAGTACACACTCAGTGACAAAATAAGAGGGAGACATTCCTTTGCTGCCCCTCCCCTCCTCCTCCTCCCTGCTCCCTCTTTCTCTCCTCTCTCTCGGCTGTGGCAGGGCCCTGGGAAAATCAAACAGGTGGTTTGGGCCTGGCAGGAAAGCTGGCTGGGCCCAGGGTGGGCAGGCCTACAGGCTGCTGGGGGCTATCAAAAGCTCTTAGGCCCAGCTTTAGGCCAGCACTCTGAATGGCCTCAGGCTTCATTATCATGTGAATTCTGGGAACTGCCCCGGGCCCCCAGTAACACCAGTGAGCTGCCCATATGGCGTTCGCTTGGCAACTAGGGAGAGCCAGCACCCCCCCTCTCCCCTCCAGTGCTACTCCTCCATTCCAGCACTCCTGATATCAAAGGAGGATAAGGAGGAGAGGGAGGCAGAGGCCCGGAGCCCCCCAGCCGCAGCCCTCTTCTGGGGGGGCTTGGACCACACAGAGTAATGTTGGACAGTCCTTAGGGACCCTGGATAACATTGTTGCCCCACAGGGCACTACAACTAGCCTGCCTGTGGGTGGATTTAACCAATGAATTAACATTTAAGACACATTCCAAAGCTGTCAATTACACATCGGAGCTGCAGCGTTGACAGATAACGCTGCAGACAGCCTCTCCACTTCTTGATGGCGCCTTTTATCAGCTGCCTGTCCTCTTGACATATTCTGCCAAGCACCAAAATTAAACTACATCAGACAATTAAATGTATGTTGTAATGTTACATAACACCGGTGATAGTGGGTGTTTTTGGGGTCTATTGGCAAAAAGCAGGACTAGCCTTTACCACAGCTTGAAAAGCGAACAGCTTAACTCGCAACTCAAGCTCCATTTTCACCAAAAGGTAGAGTACATGTATAGTACAGTTTGGCACAGTACTCAATTTTTTGTGTTTCCACCATCAAAAGTGTGGAAAGATACCAAGATAATAAGTCCATACCACCCTAGTTTTTAGCACCCTTCTGTTAGGGTACCAAGTAAACCTATCCGACTCCAAAGAGTGGAGCCAGACAGACCAAAGAAGAAAGTTTGCTCTTCACAAAATGTTATTTAACAGCTTACATGGCCTTCCTACAGCCAATGTGATTCATGACAACATTTTAATATTTAAGATCACTACAGGCTTGAATTAAGACCTGTAGAAGTTACTTCTTTATTTTTTAAGACACAACTTAAGTGGGAAAGCACTGAACAAAAACAACGGGAGTTTCTCTGCAAAAACATACAAAAATACATCAGGCTTTTAGTTTTTCCCTGGTTTTGTTATTTGAGTGTATTTTCTTTGTGATTTTCCCTAGTGTTCCTGATCAGTTTTCTGTGTTTCCTGTTTTATTTTGGAGTAGTTAACTCCTTGTGTGTCTAGTCTGGTTTCATTTCCCTAGTTTTTCCTCCTTTGTTAATCAACCATGAGTTTGCCTTACTTGTTGCTCATTTCCCAGTATGCGTATATAGTCCCTGTCTTCGCCTCTGTCCTTGTTGGTTCATTGTATCATGTGTCAAGGTTTAAACAAAAAGAGAAAGGACCCAAAATGCAGACAAAAAAAAAAACCAGATTTATTTAAAAATAATGAAATAAAAGCAACAAAAACGTATTTAAAAAATGTCCAAACAAAAAATCCAAAGGGCAAAATCAAACTGAAGACACTGGGGGAAAAATCACAAGGAGATGCACACATCAACATACAATGAACCAACAAGGACAGAGGGGAGGACAGGGACTATATCCACACTGGGAAACGAGCAACAGGTGAGGCAGACGAGACACAGGTGAAACTCGTGAGTGATTAACGAAGGAGGGAAAACTGGGGAAGTAAAACTAGACTAGAAACACAAGGAATCAACTAGTACAAAATAAAATAGGAAACGCAGAAAACTGAACTAAAGAACAAAACACAGAGAACAGGAGGAAAATGGGGTCAAACACAAACTGAAAACTCACAAGACTAGACTACAGGGGAACACGGGGAACAGAAACACCAGGGAAAAACAGAGAAAATACACTCAAACAAAACTTTTTTCTTCTCCACTTAAATGTGCTAAATGCTGCAATAGTGTTACGCTTGTGTGACTAAAGATGTGAAGGGAGTGGGTCTGATATTACAAGATAGGCTCAGTCTTATCCCATCTTAAGATTGGATCTTTGTAAAAGGGTATAGTCTAGACCAGATTTAATCTCCTGAGATGGTACAACCTGGTCTTATTGAACCAAAGCAGACAATGAGTTTCCAATACCGTAAATGTCTCTTATTTCTATTTTACTCCTCTAGCAGTATTTAAAAATGACGTGGTCCCGAGGAGCTTCTCTTAAGTGTCCCAGATGTGGGATCCATGTGAGGTAAACGGTTTATGAGTCATCTGGTTTTCCTGGATGAGGATGAGGACACTTCTACAGAGGAGATGTCACTTAACAGAGAAGGAATGCTGCTCCGGCTGCTGCAGCCAGCCACCTGCACTACAGGGCAATGGGGGACAGAGACTGAGGAAGTGTGTGAACGTTGTGTGTTATATATATGCCATATGATCTCATGCCGATGAAGCGACTTTGGATGGCTCCCGCATTGTTCATTGTGATTGCTGAGCTGTGTGTTTACGTGAGTGTGTGTTGGAGTATATTTGGATAATCCTGTCTGCTTAAATGCACCTGTGGTAAAGAAGGTAAAGTATGGAAGAGAGACAATAGAGAGGTTGGAGTGTGTGAGAAGGAGAGGGGGAGACAGAGAAAGGAGGGCAAGAGAGCTGAAAGTGTGATCTGACTTCTGAGGAACTCTGCTGGTGATTCATGCTGTTACACATGGAGCGTTTTACTCCCTCTGCAGCTGTGCGGGCCACATGCGCAATATGATTTCACAACATCTTTCCTGTCCTTGGAAATTCCTTTTTTTCATGCAGCCCACTCACCCCCTCCTTCCCTCCTGTCAGTGTGCCGGGGGTGTTACTCTGACAGAGAGGCAGGTGCATCACTTAGTCA